GGGAGGAAGAGGGAGAGGGGTCATATCAATTGTCATCAATCTTCAATTGAATTGCTCATATCAATCGTCGATTAAACCTTTAATTAAATTTGGTAAGTTCAATCATCAATTAAATGAGCTTTAATTAAAATTGCCAAGTTCAATTATTAATTAAACAACCTTTAATTTCCTTCGCTTATATCAGTCATCGATTAAATGATTTTTCATTGAATTCTTTGAAATTAATCATCAATAATCTTATAACTGGAACTCACATAATCTACGTAACAATATTGCAAGTGATAGAATCTAGATATGACAAAATAACATCAGAATGCGTGAATTTATCAAATGAACTTAAATTGTGTTGTTTATAGTGTTAAGGCTCCTAACCCCTCTATCTCTTTTTAATAACGTCAGAAGCGAGAAAATGCATGCTAAAAAATTCTTGCGAAATGTATTGAAATAAAAATATATATTCATAAAGTAACACTTGCAATCTATTAAACAAATTTGTAAGATATTCTGTGCACTCTCCTTTTGCTCTAACAATCAATAATTTATTGTAAATTAATTTGAATAAAAATAGGCGAAGAAATATGTTAAGAAGATGAATTTATGACAAATTATTGATATTTCTCAAGAATTTTTAGTATCCCAGGCAGCAAGCTGTTTATTTTGACGTCAATATATCGTTATTATTGGTCAGTAACATCATTTGTCCTTTAAGGATGTGTATTTAACGTCATATTTTAAGACGTCAAAATGACTTTGCAAAAGATCATTATGATAACGTTTAATTTACCATATTATAGACGAACTTCTTTTTCGAATAAAAAGATTAGTTTGCTATTCTTATAGATATATTTTCTTATAATAATAACGTTGCAACATTGCATATTGCAGTGCAATGTTCCAGAGACATTGCAGTGACATTAATTTGAAATATTACTTTAACAATATTATAGCAATATTTAAAAAATATTACGAATATAATATAATATTTTTTACTTATTTTAGTTATTTCTGTTACCTAATAAGCAAACAATATTTAAAAAACATTTGAAAAGACATTTTTAAAACGTCAAAAGTAATGGGATGGCGTTTTTAACGTTTTTAACGTTTGGAAAAATGTTACTTTTAATATTTAATGAACGTTTATTTTAACATTTAGAAAGTTTTTTAAATGTTGAATGTTAACATTTAGAAAAACGTTTTTAAATGTTAAAATACATATTTATTAAATATTAAAAAACACAAAAACATTCTTCCAAACATTAAAAACGTTATTTTAATGAAAAAAAGAACTTACCTCATTATTTTTAACATTTTAAAAATGTTTATTCAAATGTTTTTTTAAATTGTAATGTTTTGTAATGTCAACACCTAGGTAAACATCCCAGATAGCACAAGATCTCCTGAGGACGTCCTAAGGACGTCCTGAGGACAAAGAAATGTCCTCAGGACTTCCTCAGGATGTCCTCTGAATATCCCCTGGACATCTGTGCTATTAGGGATATTTTATATAAATATTTTATGCATATATTTTTAACTTCACTTTTATTATATGAAATATTAGAAATATAAATAGTTTATTTTTGTGGTTGTACTAAATAATATTATAAAAAAATTATAATTAGTGCTGTAGATAATAAAATACATTTAGTATCAGTTGAGGAAATAGCGCAATAGCCAAGGCAGACTAGGAACCAGTGCTGGGATTCTGTAACTCGTTATTGGAGTTAACGACAGTTTCGTTATCTTTGCGCAGCTTTTGTATACCGTAAAAAAGCTGCGCAACGATAATGAAACTGTCGTTAACTCCAATAACGAGTTACAGAATCCTAGTACTGGAGGTCTCGCGAGTTCGCGTCCGACCAGTACTGAGTAAATTTTCAGGTGCGAAAGCAGTGAGAAATCAAATAAAACATCTAAATTATGTTTAAAATCAAAATAAGCTGATTAGTTGCAAGCGTTTCTGCAAAATATATTTTTTTTAACTAATAGCCCTGATAGCCAAACGTGCCAAAAGCAAATTTTGGCAAAGCGTGCTGCAAGTTTTATCAACAGAATAACAACAAAACTGCAGCACGATTTGCTATATCAAGTAATGTCGGCAAAATGTGTGCAATATTGCGACACGACCTGTTAGCAAGCGTGATAGCAAACTGCTGACAAAAACCGGACAAGCTATCATTAGTAGTATGACGGCATATTGATAGCAGAAACTGAGCAAATCGTGCCGAGCAATGTGTGATAACAAATTTGCAGCAAATAGCGAATAAGATGTGCCGAGCAACGCGTGACGGCAAATTTGCGGCAAAAATCGAACAAGACGTGCCGAGCAACATATGACGGCAAACTGACGGCAAAAGCCGAGCAAGTCGTGTCAAATCTCATACAACATATGAGGGCCGTACGAAACACGTTTGTTAGTGAAGTTAAAGTGGAGTAACATATAGGACAACAGATTGAAGAACCAAAGATCTCAAGTTCAAATCCAATGTGAGCAAGGAATTTCTCCAAGACAATATACACTGAGATACTTACTGTTCTACATGATTAGGAAGTGTTCAATAATAAAAGCCACTGGTGTCATCTCTAAAAGACACAAATAGCATTTCATAGAACTAAAAATTTTAACTAGGACAGTCTATCTACTGATGATATATGCCTAATGCAGAAAATAAACTACATCACTAGTTATATTTTTTTTGTCTAACTATTAGGTAACTTATGTTATATCCTCATTAGGAAAAGTGATATTGCCTAGCAACTAGTTTGGTTTTTTACCATAATTATGTTGTTTCTTTTATCTTATTATTAGTTAATATATTGTATATATTCGCAAAAACGTTATATTATTAGTTCATCACTGTCTAGTTACACTAACTAATAACTATGTGTATGTGTCTATTGAATACAATTTTATTATATAATGACTAGATTCTCATAAGGTGCAAATTCTACTCGGGTAGTTTTGGCCTGTTCATAGCCGGCACATTTTGCTCGATTTTTGCCGTAAATTTGCCATCACGCCTTGCTCGGCACGTCTTGCTCGCTGTTTGCTGCAAATTTGTCGTCACACGTTGCTCGACACGTCTTGTTCGGTTTTTGCAGCACTCTGCCCTCAAGTAATTTTGGCATGCTTTGCCGACATAATGCCAGCATAATGGTAGTATACATGCTGCAAATTTGCTGTAATCCTATGATTGATTTTGCCAGCAATTTATCGGCATATTGCTGACATTTTGCTATCAGGGTAGTGTCATACGTCATTGTTACGTCATTTTATGTAAAAAAATTAAGTCATTAAGTCGTCGTATATATGACGTCATTGGTCTGTAACTTAGGACTATCAAGAAAACGTCATTATTTGTGGTCTGTTCTTTTCAACTGCACTGCTGAACTGGTGCAATAAGTTAAAGTGAGACAAGTATATTTTTTTCTCACTCTAACTTATTGCATCAGTTCAGCAGTGCATCTGAAAAGAACAGACCACTGTTAACTTGAATGATAAATGACGTAACAGATGACGTAAAATTCACGTTATTATCACGGCTGTCTGCTACCTGGGATGCATTTTTTCGCTTCTGACGTCAAAAAAGAGGTAGACAATACGAAGAGTCAGGAGCCTTAATCATGTCCGTCGTTTTTGCTTCTTTACCATCATGTTGGCGAAATATTTTTGACGCTAAACAAGTAAATATATGCGCCATCTTACGACGATTTTTGCGAAATTTATTAATCCATGAAAACTGAATAGATACTTGGCTCACTGAGCCAACTAGAGGAATTTAAATTTTCAATTAAACCATTTAACAAGAAGAGAATAAGCAATAATTAACGGTAGTTTAAGGGGGTACTGAAACTGAAAACTTTACCGACAGAATACTGACATTTTTCTGCAAAGTTTACGTCGTATTGGTTACACAGAATTACAAATGCTTTTACACAATGAAAGTACGTGCAAAAATAAATAGGAGCATTGCTTCTATTATATGTAACGAAAACGAATAAAAAAATTTTAATGTAAGATCTCAAGCTGTCAGTTAGCGTAAAATTTGCCTAATCCAAAAGTTCCGCTGCTTGTATATACTGAAAGTATGGATGCTCCAAACAGAAAAATTTTGAAGAATATTGCTCTACCTTCTGTATTTGGAAGCTTAAAAATATCGAAGAAGTTGCAGAAAGTTTCTACACATATATGGTTAGGTTTCCCGTTGAATATGATAAAACAAAACAACAAATTCATGTAAGTTTGTATGTACAAGAAATACGAAAAGGATAGCGTGATTATGTTAGTGACGATCGTCTCTACATTATCAACATCGTTCGAGTTTGTTATCGACTTCAGCAATGAGCTATAAGGTAAACGTCCTAGTGATTGAACGTGTACCGATAATTAAATTACTAATAATATGTTTGTGTTTGTTAAGATGCTTATCAATAAATGAAACAAAATCACAAAGTAACTAAATATTTCTTTTCATTTATTATATTTTTTTGTATATTGAAAAGCATTTTAACAAAGAAAAATACAAAACCAATATGTCAATCATTGGAACATGTATGTTCGACCACTGGGACGTTTACCTGAGAGATAAATGAGAATGGGCGCATTCAGTAGAAAAAGCGCTCAGTGAGCAATCAACGATTATTGGTTCTTGCTATTAGATCCCTAAATCTAGACCAATTACATTGACAAATTACTCAACTGTTGTGCAATTGTTGAGTCTACTGAATGCAGCCAATATGAACATTTTCTCTCCCCACTCTCTCGACTATATTATGAATCAGCAAGCACGGGAAGAAACAGAGACCTCTCTTTCATCCTGCAGCACTCAAGAGGCAACGTGCGTTCCAGGTAGTGTATATTTCAGTGGCCGAAATGGGCAACTCGATCGTGCAACGTGCCTGATATAAAGAAAAAAAAAACAATATCGGAAGCTGATACTGTGTACTTTTACACGTATCAAAATATCGACGTATGGAAAGTAGTTCGGTGATACATTAGTTATTTCAACGAAGAAAAAGAAGAAAACTGCCAAGACGGACACACGTGCGTGCTCATTGTAAATAGGAAACAGATTCCGACGAACGCTTTATGTTACGAGGATGGCGAAACTCAATGCATATTACACATTATGCCCACTCATCGACCAGCAGAATCTGCTGGGTGTCGAGCAGGACAAGGAATCAGGCTGGGCGATAGTAACACTTGGCAGGAACATAGTGATACGATATAAGGTCAGACATCGACTGATACTTAACCTCTTCAAGAACGAGTTTAAGTTTATTCTGTTTAGCTAAACTGTCTGAATTGACACAGACTGCTGCAATAAGTTCAAGTGAAACAAAATATATTTATTTTACTTTAAGGTCCAGTTCTACAACTTTACTTTAACCGGAATTTAACTTATTAAAGGCCTCCAAACAAACTTGCATTGTCATATTATTTATATACACAAGAAAATCAACTAATCGTGATTCGTACAGTAAAAGAATGTCTTTTATATTAGACATGTTTTATATTGGATTAGTTAATTCCCTTGTGTGTATAAATAATGCAACTGCAAATTTGTATGGATAGATCTCTAACAAATTAAACTCCAGCTAAAGCGAGTTGTGGAACTGAACCTAACTTATTGCACCAGTTTAGTCAGTTTAGCTAAAAAAAAAAACAGATGTAACATTGTAATTAGAAGAAAATTATTTAATGTCAAAGTGACAAAGTTATATACAGTAGTTAAATACATAGTTATATACATAGTTAAATATACAGAAATATACAGTTCAGGATTTATGCCGAAACAACTAATTACTATAAAATATTCCTTTGTATATTTTATCATACATCTAAACTCAAATCTTGCAGATAACCTTGCAGGAAGCTTTTGCTAATCTTTTCAGAATCTGATATTTTAGTATACTCATTAATAGGTGTACTCATCAATTTAGTAAGGAGAAAGATTTAATCATCAATAAACCATTTCTCAGAAGGTTTCTAAACAATATTCTAGAAAATAAGCTTTAGCTTATAAAAGATGTTGTTTATTAAAAAGTTTATTATTAAAGAATTAAAAAGAAGCGAAGAGAACTATTTGAATTACCAATTTTATTTGTTAATAATTTTAATAAAGAATGAACAACACCTATCAACTTTTTAAGAGTTACTTAGAAATATTCTTCTTCTTTACAATACATATTATGGTCAAGATGATTAGATTGATGATTAGACTGTATATTTTTATATATTTATCATTCACAGAACTTTTCATTATAGGTGTGTTTTTTAGCTGAACTAGATTGCACTTTTTGCTGTATAACAAGTATATAATTTAAGCCAGCGGCACACGGTGTTTGTTTTCATGCTGGATTGCTTGCTGATTGATGCATTTCTGAAGATGAATGGAAATACACTAATCAAAACAGAGTATTTCAATCCAGCAATCCAGCACGAAAACAAGCACCGTGTGCCGCTGGCTTTAGTGATGAATGAAAAAGGAGGAGGGGGACATAAAGTTGCAATGTAATACTAGTTCAGCTAACAAACAAATCTTACACCTTTGTCAATAATGTTTGAATTAGAAAAAGAAAACTAAATGTGCTGAAACATACAAAGTCTGTCTGGAAAGTATCCAACCTATACCATGTATAGGTATAAGTATCTGTATCTGAGTTTACTATTGTAGAGAACGAGTATTCTCCATTTAAAAGAAACCACCGTGAGTGTCAAGCAGAGGTGCAGCTCTTCACAAAACATGGCATATTCCAAGTCTGTTGTGTAACTTCTGATTGTTTCCGAAATTAAAAACCCCCTAAAAAAGGTGATTTGATGATGTGGAGAACATAAAACAGAATGTGATAAGAAAGTTGTTGGGTATTTTAAAAGCTGAGTTCCAGGACTGCTTCAGGAAGTAGGAGTAGCACTGAGGGAAAATAGTTGTGGCTTCCAAAGAAGTACTTTGAAGAAGACATAATCGCCATTGATTCAATTCTTTCTCTTCATATAGCTTAAAGTCGAATATTCTCCAGGCAGACTTTGTATACGTACATGTATCCATCTCTAAAAATATTAGCTAACACAACCAATATTATTTCAATAAGATTCTTAACAATCTATATGCATGGTTTTCCAGCTACAAGACCTGAAACAAAGCAGAAGCTGGTCCAGCAAGGATAAATTGACATCGCAGGTGATTTACGATAAGTCGAATCAGTGTTATGCAGCTGCCTTTAAAGAGAAAAAGATACGGGTCTGGTCGGAGGAGGAGGTAGATTTGAATAATGTGAAGGGATACAAATTTCGATTCCCGTTGCACGCTATTCTCACGCATGACGAGCTACCACCAGTTCTAGTCCAGCAAAACGGAGCTACAGCCTCTTTGAAGTGGGCGATCGCAAATAGAAAATCTTGGGCCAGCAAGGGTATACTGAGGACCAAAGAGAAACTGTTGCACTGTCAATTGATACATTTGAACAAGAGAACAAGTCTTTACTGCTTGACAAAGATAGAAGAAACGTACAATTGTTTAGTTGTCAAATTGACGGATGATACTTGTTTGGAAAAGGCAAATACCATGAACAGATTCGAACTGAAACGAGAATCGGAGGATCTAGTGGGACATACGGTGATACAAAACAAAAATACTGCTTATCTATTAACTTTATGTACGTAAAATCAATCGTTATGATCGTATTGTATTTTATTTCTTTGTATCCCTTTATTGTTTCTTTTATCGCAAAATTGTACATATTTCTTTCTAGAATTAGAAAATAATACCTTGTAACGCCGTCACTGTGTGTACAAATTTTTTCAATAATGATTTGGTAATGATGTTATTTCCTTTTTTCATTGATAACAATAATGCAATTATATTTTTAAGTGATGATAACTAATATAATCGTTATTTTTATTATTACTTTGCGCACGCACGCACGCACGCACACACACACACACACACACACACATATATATATATATATATATATATATATATATATATATGCACATGCACATAAATAGGTAGATATAAATATTAAAGTAATGCATTACTTTTCAAAAGTAACGTTCTCAACCTAGTTTCTTTTATAGTGAGATTACATTAATGTGTTTCTCTAATTTTTTCAGGGTCACATGGTAGATTGTACAGTCATGTTCTGACGGGAACGTCTTCCGATCCGGGAGCCAGCACGTTAATCAGTGTAATTACCAATATTAACACGAAATATCCTGCGGTAATGACACACTTGAACGAGACGACTATAGCGGTTTACGGTGCCGACATTACGGACGAAGGTGCGATACTCATGATATATAATGTACAGCACAAATTGGCGCAGGCGGTGCAGAAGCTTAAGCTTTACACAAACGACGCTAAACTCTGGAAGGTGGAGGATAAATTATTATTAGCGGCGAATAGGCATTTGGCTATCGCGCCGTATCGTCTCGCGCCACAAAGAATGGCTGCTACGATGAGCTCGTCCTTGTGCTTCGAGAATCACGATAACGATAATGACACGGACGACATCATGGTGATACAGGAGATGACAAAGAGTCAATGGAACAAGAAGCAATCGCACGTCAGCAAAAGCATGTCGACAGATCGATCATCTTCGATGCCTCAATTACCAAAAATCACGAAACAAAACTTCACTTATAAGACCGAAGGATGGAGCGACACCACGATGCAAGAGATACTGATTCCGTCTTTTATGGAGTCCGGCGACGTCACGTCAATTTACTGGTGTCTCAACAGGACCAAAGACTTGCCGGAGAAATTACTGGTAGATCTCTTGGCGTTCTTGCTGAGAAGTCCGGACAAGATGTTTGTACCGTTACAAAACGGCTTGGCTAACAATGTATCAACGTCATCCAACAGTAATTCGCATTCGAGGAACGATTGTCTTGATAAAGTGTTTAGTATCACTTATTCTAGTACTTCTCTATTGCCACACTTGAGAACCGGTTTAACTTTAGATGAAGTACTCAGACTGTTAGAGTACTTAATGGACAAACTGACTGAGCAAGTAGACTCGTTGGACGGTAATCCGCAATTGAGCGAGCAACAGTTATACGAGTGGTCCAATCTGCTTTATGATTCTCACCATCAGCATTACGCAATATCACAAGACGCACGTGTTCTGGAAGTTTTCAATCGATTGAATTCTGTTTTGGATCAACACGTGAGTATCGTAGAAGCTTTACGTAATCTCGTATCCTCTTCTCTGTTACAATTTGTTTTCTTTCCACTAGGTCCAATTCCTGCAAGATCTTCAGAACCTGAGGCCTGTGCTGGAAAGGATAATCGACGGAAAGTCACCGCAGTCTTCCTCGACAAAGTACAATAAATACTATTCCATAGAAGAAATAAAACTTTATTAAATTACAAAGCAAAATTGTTTTTAATCTCGTATAAATCATCCAAGATGTGCGACTTTGATAGGACACATGCTTCTACTGTTTCGCATAACCGTATGCATGATTTATGAGAGTGCCGTCGAGAAATGTGTAGAACAGAACAAACTTGTAAATATTTCAATATCCTATTTGTTTTATTCACCATATTTTGTCTTCATATATCATAGGTGAACGAGTTCCTCCAGGGGCAGGAGGTACTCTACACTATAACAAGCTCTACAACAATTGTTATTTTTATATTAATATTGCAAATCGACTCTTTTTACACTGATGAACGTGCACGTCTCTAAATTGTGAACGCGAGAATTCGGAATCGGCGATTCACCGCCTAGGATTTTCAATGTTACACATCTAATGTAATTGATCGATGTATGGAACGGTACTTAGATCGCCAATCGCAGCCACAGACAATTTCCCGTTGTTGAATTTTCCGGCAATCTAAAAGCCATGTAGAAACAAAGTTTTTTTTAATTATACTTTTAATGCGTAAACATGCGTTTACAAAGATGTATAAAGTTTATATTAAATAAACATATTTATATACAAAAAAACAAAATAAGCGCTTCATTGGATCGAAAGAACAAATCGCATTATGATAAAAAAATCTACTTACCGATTTGACGTCAGACGCGCTTATTTTGTCCACTTGTGCGACAAGATCGGATGGCTTATACACGCGTTTCTTGAAAAGCGCCTGTTGTCCCAAATTTTCCAGCAACGTGGTATTATCGTCTGCGGCGAACATAATCTCCGCCTTCAACGTGGCCTTACCGCGAGCAATATCCGCGTCGGAGATGTTTAGCGATCTCAGACACGAGACGGCAGCTTTTGTTATCTACAAAAAAAAATCTAAACCTAAGCGTGAAGGCTCCTGGATATACAATCAGCAAGAAGAAAAAGTCAATAATAGTCAATATAAAATCTCAGTTGTGAGACTTTCAGTCATGAAAGTAAAATAAGAAAGAAGTACCGAACAGACTTTTACTGGAGCTGTCTAAACATTTCAGTCGTTATTCCGACTCTCTATAAAAAAAGATTTCACATCATCACGTATATATCTTAGAATAAAAAACGTTCTATATTCCATGATATGCAGTATTCAAATTCTTAAGTATAAATTGATTTCATATTTGACGTGGCTTTTGCTATATGGAGAAGTGCTGGATTTGATTTCCTAGTTGGAGTTGTGTGTTTTGTGAATTTCCTTTCAATGTTTCATGAAAATTTCAGTTCATTTCATCAAAGAAAAGTACAATATCATACTTTCTAAGTTTATTCTTTTTAACTGAACTATGTTGCATTTCTATCCGTCAGAGAGAATAAAACAAATATATAATAAAGGGAAAAAAAGAACGAAGTTCCCTAACACTCAGCTAGTTCAGCTAAAAACAATAAGCCTCTTGGTTGCTATTTCTGATGAAGTAAATTGAGATATTCACGAAATCTTGGAATCAAAAAAAGAAAACGCTATCCCCCAACCCGAAAGTCACATCAGGTATAAATTTACCTGGAATAAAACATCGAGCAATCGGCATTCGACTTGTTTACAGTACTCTTACGTGAATTTTATCAAATAATAAGATGCATGAGGATTTAAAAAATAAATATATAAATAATTAATAAATCTCACCTTTAGTATTTGATAAAGCCTGCGCAAGAGTGTCGAAAATAGGTAGAAAATGCCGGTTGCTGGAATTTTATCGTATAATTTGTTAAACAATAGAGAACTTACGGAACCAGCAACACTGGGCATCGAGCACATGACAAAGCCGAACAATCCGGAGTCGCTGTAACTAGCATTAAATGCCGAGATGGCGAATTGATCGACGCTCGCTGCGCTGGACACCTGCCTCTGCAATGGAGACACACTAATGCCCCATTTCACATGAGGCCCATCACCGACCGTTCTCTGTAATATAGCGTAAGCGAGAGCATCTTTCTCTTTGTTAAAACCAGAGGCTTCTACGGCTACTGCCACAGTAGTCAACTCGGACGTTCGTTCCTTGCGAAGTTCTCCTCCGTAATACTTTGTCGCTTCCGGGACTTTATCCTCGGAAGCTACTTTCAGATTCGTGGCAAACTGCGACACACTCTGCAGCGGAACGCCAGTAGCCACGACCGCGCAGTTGGAGCCAGTGAACCAGGTGTTAACGAAGTGTTGCAGCTAGAGAGAGAGAGAGAGAGAGAAGAAAAGCTTTATTAGAAATACAAGGTTGAAAATGTTATTCTTGAAAAATAACATTCATTAAAGTAACACGTTAGAGTTAATTACTCAAGTAACGTATCCTTACAATTTTCATTATTTTTTTTCAAGAAGTTTGAACTTTTTTTATGATTCGCTTCTTCCCATTCACGTATATGTGCAAAGTAACGATTATAACTGTTACTTTGCACATATACGTGAATGGGAAGAAGCGAATCATAAAAAAAGTTCAAACTTCTTGAAAAAAAATAATGAAAATTGTAAGGATACGTTACTTGAGTAATTAACGCAACTGTGTTAGCATTAATAATAAAAAAATAACGATAAACCTTAGAAGAGACAAGTTACTTTTAAATTTTACTAGAAATTAGGAATGTCCAGACTAGCATGTGGTAATACACGTACAGTCTCTGTATTGATCTTCCCGAGTTGCCTCTTTGGTGAGTATAGAGAATAACCGAGTCCGCTGCGATACGCCGCTTTGTGCAGTAATTCCATTATTCGAGTTGTTTCAGGCACAGCGGACAACTCGTAGCGTAACCTAGGCAGTTGATCGGATATCTCCCATGGTTTGAACACTTGTTGGGTAGCAACGTCCTCCAGAAAAGTCAAAGTGTCGTTTCTATTACAAGAGCGTGGATATTACGTACCATTCGACAAGCGAATTTTTTAAACGAAAGCCTCTAAGTTGATCAATATGTGTAAGAGGATCTGCTTACAATTTATCCCTTGTAATTTGCAAGGTGTAAGCAATGCTTTCGCGATCCGTAGTGGCAGTTAAATTTCCACCAAATTGTTGGAGATTTCTGGTTATACCAAAAGCGCTCGATCTGCAGGTGCTCAAACCAGCAAATATACGAAGGTGATGTGCTATACCTTGTGTATTGTAAGTCTCATTGCGTGAACTAGCTCTAAAATTGGAAAAAATTAATTTTATGAAAAAGTGTTTCACATCAAGTACATTTAAGACGACTTTCAACAAACTAATTAATGTAATCAATGACTTAAAACTGCTGTTAGTGAAAGATTATGCTATATCTTGCTAATGTAGATAGAGATTATTCATTTTTCAGCTATTGTTGAATGACAAATTACAGAAATGAAAATTACTGTTGGCAATTCTATTATTCATCAATTAGTTTAATCTGAACTTGGTAAAAGTAATTCTTGCAAATGCACTTATATCATTATTCTTATATGCATATCTAGAGACTTAGGAAAATTTTTAACAAACTGATTAATCTAATCATTTAAAATTGCTGTCAGTCAAATATTATCTATGGGTTTATTAAAATTACAAATTTTTTAATTATTGTTGGATGACAAATTAGATAACAGGAAATTGCTAATTTGGTAATTCTTTCTTTGGTATTGCTAACTTGGTAATTCTTATTATTATTTATTGATTAGTTTAACTTGAATTAGTTCTAGTAAAAGTCATTCTTACAAATATATATTTATATATTATTTATACACATATACCTAAAAACTTATGACTTTCAACAAACTGATTAATCCATAATTTAAAATTGTCAGTAAAATATTATTTGGTTTATCTTGTCAATGCAAGTAGAAATTACTAATATTTTATTATTGTTGAATGATAAATTATACAATTGAAAATTACTGTTGGCAATTATTATTATTTTCATTGATTAAAGTTAGATAAAAGTCACCTTTACAAATATTATATTTATTATATTCATATGCATACCTGAAGATAATTGACACTTGGGCAATAGGATTATTGTTATCGATCGCAGCAATAGTCACTTTATTGCTTGATAGTACTTGAAGTTCAGGGACTGCCGCAGTAGAGCATTGAGTTGCCGCTGCAACTGCATAGTGTCTTACCTGAAGAGACATAAATATAGAAATATAGAATATACATAATGCATAAATACATAATCCATAAATATAAAAATTAATTGAGAAAATACCTGATCGTTAAATATTCTGAGAAAACATAATTTTTGGAGTTCTTATTTATGAAATAAATACATATATTTTCTCTGTACAGAACAGTACTTATAAGTGAAATAGGATGAAAACGTACGATTGTGAAATACATCAAAACCAATTTTTGAACATGATTCGAGTGTTGTCAGAATGACGTTCGCAGTCATCTTTTGCTATAAAAACGAGCGCAAAGTCGTTTTAAGCGTTTAAAAAGTCGCAAGGTTAAAACATATCGTACGCCAACGATTTACATAACACCCGTATTACAGGTAAAGATAATGATTAGACAATGAGGTATCGAGAAAGATGCGCGATCGATGACACAGGATCATTAATGGGATTCATCATACCGTAGGGCTACGAAGGACAGGCGACCGCACAGCGGAGCAAGCCATTTCTCGTGTTTTCAGGAAAAGCAGAAGAGTTGATCAGACAGACGTAGACAGCCGAGACGGCGCCATTAGTCGTATAAGAGAGAGAGAAACACGCTGACCAATCTGAGCATTGCCCAATAAATTGGCGCACAGTATCAAATCCGAGGTTGCGTTCTCAAATTCGCAATGAAGTCAGATGTGTTTGTTGTATAATTTAGCCGTTTCTAAAATGAACTTACGCACATCAAGCATTAATCTTAACCGTTCTTAAATTCAAATTGCAAACGGCGCTATTTAAATTACTTACAATTTTCTTTTAAGATAAACAAAGCCAGACACATTCAATTATCCGTTAACTTACCGCTCAATTGGAATAATTGATCTTGTCGATATAATCCCAGGCAGCACACAAACTTTTAAAATATGTCTTAAAAACATCCTATTAATTCTATTAATGTCTTCCCAGTGAGAAATGACTTATCGATAGACGTCGAATCCATGTCGAAATCGTCAAATTGAATAAAGACATCCTATTTCTTTTAGATATTTTTTGAATATCTTTAAGATATTTTTTAGTAATTTGCATTGTTCAGGAATATTATTAACTGTGATAGATACTATACTTGTTTCGCTATATGTCGAATAGAAAGTTTATATAAAAGACATTCTTTTGTATGCATTTCTCTGTATGCATTATAATTGGTTGATTTCCTTATGTATGTGTGTAATATGTGATTATGCAAGTTTGTTTCGATAGGCTTTAATTTAATTTAGTGTAATGCAAAACGTATACAAAGCATATACATATTTCCCACACAGCATAAGATGTCCAAGATGTTTCAAAGACATCCAGAGAATTGCTAATCCAGTGAGAAATGACTTACCAATAGACGTCGAAAAAACGTCGAATCGACGTCGATTTAACGATTTCGACGTCGATCGATCATTTCTCACTGGGAAATGTCCGCATAAGGGGCCATCTACAATGGGAAATCATACACCGTAGCAATAAGAAATTGACCAATCATACTGGCTTTTACAAGAATAATCGATTGTGATTGGTTAATTTCTTGATACGATTCTCCATTGTAGATGGTCCTTTAGTCCTTAGTATATCCTAAAAATATTCTAAGAACTTCTAAATGTCCGCATAAATCCCCAGGATATCCTTACAAAATCTTGTTGCTATTAGGGTATGCAAACATATATGTTTCCAACTGCAAATATTATATAATAATATAAGTTGAGTTCCAAAATCCTACTCGACGGGTGGAATAACATTCAATTTACCAATCAGTTTCTTATCAGGAGATAAAGGATGCTTTCCAATTGCTTAACACATTTGACACATTTTTACACAAAACCAGTTTATTGGTCATATATTATCTAAAATATCTTGTAAGATAATATGCAACCAATAAACTGGTTGTATAACACAGTGTACGCAACTGGGCCTTTATTCTTGAAATAGTTGTGTATACGTAAGTTTTACTGCGCAGGTTTAATCATATCATAAAATAGCTGCGCAGTAAAATTTACATATACGCAACTATTTCAAGAATAAGGGCCCTGGAAAGCACCCAAAGAAACCTTATAGCGTGTTCGACTGCCCCTGAGTTAATCACTCCGAGAGCGATTATTGACGTCATAAGTCTCTATTAGCCAATCATAAAACTTATAAGTAGTTGTTCGACCAATAAACGTAGACTGAATAACCCAAAGTGGATTAACCCAGAGCCAGTCGAACATGCTATTAATTTTCTTTGTTCTGATTGGTCGATTAAATACTATTCTATCCGTCGAGTAGAGTTTGGAACGCACTCAGCATTTATAACGCAATAGAGAGCTACCCAAACGCACGTATAGAGGGCAACTTCTATGTTTAATCTGACGTACAGAAGAAACGCGCAAGGAATGCCAAGTGTGGTGAGAAAGTAGTTTGCGAGGTATTAGTGTTTGGAAAAGAAATCATGCCGAAAGTACGGCGAAGTAAGAAACCGCCTCCTGATGGTTGGGAGCTGATCGAACCTACCCTAGAAGAGTTGGAGCAGAAAATGCGCGAAGGTTAGTTTGCTTCATAAGGTTAATCGTCTCTGTTGATACTCGAAGAGAATATTTGAAGAAATATTGTTTACTTTGTTATAGCCGAAACGGAACCTCACGAGGGCAAAAGAAAACAGGAATCTTTATGGCCAATATTCAAGATACATCATCAAAAATCGCGTTACATTTATGACTTGTTTTATAGGAGGAAAGCGATCAGTCGCGGTAAGTTCAAACGTCATCAGTTATTTCTGAGCAACAATATAAATAATGTGATCAGATGTCCCAAACTCAAATTTAGAATACCACAAATATTTAAGAATAAGGTGAAAACCACTGAAAATGTTTAAAACTAAATATATATATATATATATAGAAATATATATAGACATATTGAAAAATAGTTTAACTATAATTAAAGCCTATTATATTGATGCATTAATTTAGGTTTTTTTAACAAATAACAAACATAGCATACATTGCTCATTACAAAGTTATAAACATATAAATGCTTTTCCTGAAAAATCTTGTTATTTAACATATTTGTAAACTAATATATTAATAATTTTGTACTAGATAATATAGATCATATTGTGTTTTTTAAAAAGTCGTCTATGAACTAATGTATCAATATATAGTTAAAAAACAAGTTTCAAATCCATAAAAAAATATCTGTACAAAAAAAATGGAAAAATAAAAATAACTATAAAGATAAAAACTAAGAGATAAAAAAAACTATTGCCATCCTTATTTTAAAATAAAAGTTGCTGTATTCTACTAAGTTGTAAATTTATCTAAAGAGATTTTCTGTCAGAAATATCTAAAAATATATGATACAAGTTTTATCGCAGCTCATTTTAATTGTAACATTGTTTCCATTAATCATATAAAGCTGAGTTTTTGAAAACTACATTAAATCAAAATAAACTTTGATTTCCTTTCACATATAAATCTTTCACTTTTTCATAAATTGTAATAGCTTCTTCAAATGTCAAGTAAATTATAGTCTTAAATTAAAAAAAAATGTGACCGTTCCAAAAAAATCAGGATTTCTAGTTACTTTGCAAGTCACAACTAACTTTGTATCTTCGTTTCAGAATTATATGACTACTGTTTGAACGAGAACATAGCAGACAAGAACTTAATAGCCAAGTGGAAGAAGGTTGGCTATGAAAATTTGTGTTGTCTGAGATGCATTCAGACCCGAGACACAAATTTCGGCACAAATTGCATCTGCAGGGTACCCAAAGGCAAACTAGAGGAAGGCCGTATCGTAGAATGTATACATTGCGGTTGTAGAGGATGTTCAGGCTAAACGATGAAGAACAGGATCTTTCTTCATATATACATATATATATATATATATATATATATAAGGCACTTCATTTTTTTTATTGCTGCAAAATTACATCAATATCTCGAGTTGTCTGTAATAAAAATAAGTTTTATGTGGTTGATACATTTCCCTTTTTACTTGATCATCAAATTCCACTTATTGTACTCTGTAAATCGGGCGGCAAAGTAAAGCGGCGTTTGTACACGCCAGTCATAAGTGACACATTTATTTTCAGACTCGATATTCATCCGCAACACGTGAGCATTCTTTCGGAAGGCAGAGATCGTAATGTCTGTGCCGAAACGCATTCTCGGCAAATGCATCAGTTTCTTTTCACCATCCATGAAGATCGTGCCTCGAGGTGTTATCATGAGAGAAGATCGTCTTTTCAAAGTGTCGCTGCAACCTCGCGGCTCATGGACTAACGCGATACCCTCATCGTCGTTTCCTTTTTGCGAAACTTCTAAAAACTGTTTACCATAGGTAAATTACAGTGCAAAAACGTACATAATTTTACATTGTCTTTTATATAATTACCTTGAATTCAATTATATAATTTGCGTCGAATTGAGGACCGTGTGAGAATAGTGTGCTTGTAATATTCGTAAGTTTCGCCGCTACCTTACCGTTGTTAGTGATCACGTAGTCTTTATTATCGAGCCCCCAACCTGCGATTGTTTGAAACGATTTTCACCATTTTGTTGCATTAACACCAAATAAGATATTTTGTATCGAATAATGCAAAATTAAAAGTATCAATTCCCGGACAAGCGTCTGATTCTGGACGTTCTTATTGTTTTGATCTTTAAATACGAATATTTAAACTTTTAACGTAGAATATATGTACATATTCAATATATATGTATATATATTTCTTATATCTTTAAATTTTAAAGATCAAAACGATAAGAATGTGTCCAGGATGAGGTACATATCCAAGCATTGATGCTTTTATCTTATTTGTAAATTGTAAATCAAGTTTGAAGTCTCTATTTTGTAACTTGTAAATATTTTGAAAAAAAAAAACTATTTTTAATATAGACATATTTATTCGATTCGAACCTCTCTCTCTTTTTACTTACTGTATGGCGGTATAGAAGTCCGTGTGACATGATGCACGCTCCTCGCGCCGTTATCCGTTTGTATCCTGACTCTGAGCGTGACTGGCTTATCAAATGCCACGTTTCTGATGAAACAAGAAGTTTCGGGTCCTCGGTATACAGTTTCGAATCTTCTTGATGTCGGATCGAGAATCTCACCGTTAGCCTTCTCCACGACGAATGTCTGCTCCTCAGCTGTATACTCCGGATCGGTAATGTGCCATTTCACGAAGAAACCCGCCGGTCTCTCCTCGATGTTGATTATTTGAACGGGCACCGTTCGTAATATGCAGCCCACCTTCGATATTTGCTCGATGATTTCTTCTTTGTTCAAATTCAGCGGACGATTGAAACTTATATTCGGTAGTTCCTCAGAATATGGTACCGCTGGTATCCTTATTCGGAGAAAAATAATATTATGCTACGGTAAATCAGGAAAGACATATCTTATGGTATTATAATTGCAGTTTGCAACATTTTCTGTTGCCGAGTAAATACGATAACATTGCGTGTGGTACAACTTTGTCAAAACTCGCGTTGGTTTCATATATTGTTATTATCGGCTGTATTTAAATAGAAAGAATTTACCAAATTCTGAGCCGCGAATATAAATTTTGTTGCCAGACCGCTGAACAAGAGTGTTTTAAAATTTCGATGATATATCAATATTATATTTTTTATGTTTAAAATATATGTTAAACTTTTTTTATGAAATTCCTTAAAGTGCTCACTTATAACAATTCTTACTATGATGTATGGTTTATATTTCTATAATGATCGTTACTTTTTTCTATTAATAACAGTAACGGTAACAAATTTAACCATTACTTTTATTGTTACTTTAGTTATCTCTATTCAATAGATGATAGTGTATGTTAAATATCCTTGATTGGATAGAAATATCCTGACATTCGCTAGAAAATAGTCTGTAGTTTTATCTTATACTTTATGTAAAAATAATTGTTATAGTGTAAAGTCGGATTTTGCAAATAATTTAAAGTTAAAAATAATAATTTCATTTTAAAATTAATTATATATTTTATTTATAAAATATATAATTAATTAATTAAATTTAGTATTATAAAAAAATATATAACGAATCGTTATTTTTTTAGTAATAGTAACGGTAACGAATTAGTTTTTAAAATTAGTAACAAGTAACTTTTTAACAAATAACGGTTACTTTTTACGAAAAGTAACGGTAACGCGTTACTTTTTTTAAGTAATGTTCCTAACTCTGATAATGAATGCATCGTACATAAATTAATGTATAAAACTTATTTAATTATTCATCCCCATGTATTAGTTTATCCTTAATTATATTTATTTTACATCACTGTTTTTTTTATTTCTGTCTTTGCATTATTTTTCTATTTGTGTGCTACTTTATGTTTTTCTTATTATATAATAAAGAGTTTCTGTTTCTACCATTAATAAAAATAGCAATATATAAGGTTTTGATCATTTGCCATTTAACATTGTTTTAAGTAGAAGAAAATGACTTTAAAAAATGAAATTCCATTCAATCTTTTGTGCTGAGTGTAATGTCTCCGAATATTTTTAACTAAGCGGGCGACATTATAGCCCGTGTAATAATCTGAAATAAATGGGACAAGAAAATTTAAAAACTGTATTAAATTTGCTGGAGGATAAACTTAAATCCTTTAGAAAATTTCTAAAATTAATATTTTATCCGGAACACTAAATAAAAAAAAGAGAGGAAAAATGACTTGTAACTTCGAAGAGTCGTCATTTTGTTAAATTTCAACTTTCTGTATATAACAAAGGTTCATCTTACACAAAATGTAACAGTTTTTAAAAATGTTCTTGTTTTATTTTTTTCAGATTATTACATGAACTGTAATGTTATCCACTAGGTAGAAGCGTCTGGCAACGCCGCATCAGCACAAAAAACCTAGACGGCGGAATTTTACATTTTTTGTGCTCAAAACAATGATAAATAATATGATTGAAAGCCTATATTAGTATCTTTGTTTATTTCTTTAAAAAAAATTCGTAAAAATCTCCTACTTCTCCGACTATTCCCTCAATATATTGTTAACATTATTATTATTGTTACTGATATCGTTATTACTCTAAAAACAAGTTATTCGATTAAACTTTCTCTCACCTGCCCATATCGTTGCTTGCAGCGACTACTTTCTCGAATTCATTCACGTGGTATTGCTCCGGATGCTGTAGCATATTCTCGCTTATCAAGATAATGCTATGTGCGTTTTCTACCTGTGCCTCCACCTCTTTTCTACAAGCTCTCAACGGTATCAAAGTTTCATTCTTGTGAATTTCTGCCTCCAGTATAAGCTGTTCGCGTCTCTTATTGACTTCTCGGCACACATCATCTAACAAAGATTGAAATGCCTCGTCTATATCTTTTAACGTTCTCATCATACTATTTTCTATCTAACAAGACATAAGATCCTCATATTAATACGTTGACCAGTGGGAAAGTAAGCGGAAGCTTTCAGCACGATTTTAGAAAAGTGCGTGAGTTACCTGTTGATCAGCGTCGTCGAGATCCTTTAATTGATAATTCAGTTTCGCCATGTACTCTTGCGCAGACTCTATGATACTATTGATATTCTCTTCCATATTCCGCGGCAATAGATCCTCCTGCAATAAGATGCTATCCGCATCGACACACGGTATACTCTCGGTGTTCTGCTTTTCGTCAAGATCTTGTTCATTGATCTCCTCATACTGATGCAATTTCTTTAATGTATACGTTAATCTCGTCAGAAGTTCTTTCGTTTTTTCGTGATCGTTATTGGATGTCAGACAAGTCTTATTGGGAACGTTCGGCGTCAATGGCTCTATCAGATATTTATCCAATAATTCCGCGTGGTCGTTGGTTTGCTCCAATTTGTCGGATAACTTCTGGTTGGTCAATGCTTCTAAAATTCGTTCCATATCTGAAATACTGCAATAATTTCAATTAACATAAATTATCGTAATGTCGATAATATAAACTGTTAAAAAAAACAATACAGAACTTATAGGACAAATAATACTCACTAAATTGAGAGTAGAAGATACTTATAAGACGAAAAGTCAATACTTTCAAAGTTAGAAGCAACCTTCAATTTTGATGATGTATATGATTTGTTGTTTACATTGTTACATGCATGAAAATAAAAGATTATCATAACATTCTTATTACCGTGTTTACGAAAAATGTTTGAACTTGCCTTTAACGTCTCTCTTTAATTTATACGAATAACGAATAACGAATTCTTTTCTAATCTTATCTTATTTTTGATTTGAGGTATTAGATATTTGTCTTTGCAATCTATGATTCATTATGAATCATATCTGTTCAGTGTTACATAGTTATATAGTTACGAGAAAATCTTCAGTTTTTATATCACATATAATAATATAAATAAGCAAATCATGTGTGTACATTATCAAAACTGAAAATCGTTTCTGTCTCGGAGAGATTTGATATTTTTCAACTTATATTTACTGAGTACTTTTTACTCGGTTTAGTGAGTGATCCTACAAGTTTTGAACTAACATTCTATATATGTTCATACATAGTTAGATATTAGGGATCAATTTTATTAACATTTCGCGAGTCGCATTGAATTTCCTGCGGCATAAGATAGACATCTCTCAATATAAGGTATCTCTTAATATCTCTCATGATGTAGATATCTCTTAATCAAATTGTGCCAAGAATATTTTGCATTATAGTAGTCGCTAACGTCGGCTTGAACATCTTTCTCAACGAACGTTTGGGTTTGTTGATTGTTCAATATTAAGCATCTCTTCAATCTCCTTTCTGGATATTTGGCGTGATTTCGCGGCTTGGCGTCTCTCTCGTTATCGCCAATTCGAGAACTGCTCTCATAGTTCTTATTTGGTGTCAACAATATGCCACTCCAGTAATCCGAATCGTTACAATTGTGCAGAGATGCTTGCGTGCTAATTCCTATGATTTGCCAGGAATATTTTATGCTGCACATTTTGTACGGAGATTCACGATCCTCCGTGGTAGAGTCGTTCAGAAGATCTTGTAACAAACTATACGACGTCTGCGTGCCTGTCCCGATAACTTGCCAGGAATATTTTATTTTACAATCATAAGACTTTCTGCCATACGTTTCAAGATATTGCTGTCCACGCAAGTTATTGTACTCTCTTCTTCGAGGATACGACATCCAACTGTCTAAAGTTTCCCACGAATACTTAATATCGCGAACAGTCTTGCTCATATCTCGTTCTTGCTGATCTCCCAAAATATTTTGCTTATCATTAGCATTCTCAAAATTGTCCCCAATTTTGACTGAACTAGTGTCCCTAACAAGACACCAATTTGTATCAGCAGAGTTCAAGTGAGAAGTTGCAAAATGTGGAAATTTGTTCTCTGACGAAATATCATTTTCATAATGCAATACGTTGATTTCGTATTCACTGTTAGGATGCAAATGATTTGATGTCACTCTGGATATCGATTTTTCCCTGTTTCCAATTTTTGCAAATGTTCTTTTATTTTCCATATTGAAACTCGATACTGATGACGTTGATATTGTGGAAGCAGTATCTGTAATGTTGTACAATGTATCACTAGGCATTGATACAATTTGTGATTTGCTCGTGACATTACTAATTGGAGTTTTCATTTTGGGCATAACTGCTAATTTGTTTTCATCCTTTATCTGACTTCCTGTCAATTGAGACATATTGTATTTTCTTGATAGTTGTATGGACTTTGAGCTTGCTTTGTGCAGTTCCTTGTCTTTTGCTAATAGCTCCAATTGCTCAGGCCTAGTATTGGGAAAATATGATGTGTTATTTGTCTCTTTGTAAGACTGTTCCTTTAATGGATATAAGTTTTGCAGAACATTCGTTTTCTTGATGGTTGATGAATCTGTTTTTCCAGAAATAGTATATTTTGTGCTTTCATTCTTGAGTTTACGTTGCTTAACTTTCTTCACCTACAGTTTCAAGTGTCAAAATGTAAAAGATCATTCTATATATAATCTCATATTTTTCAAGATGATTTAGAGATTAATAAGGAAAAGAAAAAATAAGAATTTTTTAAGATGATATTTTAATTGACCTCAAGTAAGTTCTCCAAATAATTGTATAATGTATGCGACGGTGTTTCTGAAAATAGTAATGCAGGGCTATTTCTGTATTTTTGTGTCTTCAAAATCTGAGGCTTGTTTTCTGTTAAAGAAGTATTAAAGGTCTGCTTGATGGGCATAGGTTCTATGACAGGAATCAATACGTTTTCAGTACGCAGCATTACATCTGGCACAATCATCCTTTTTTTCTGTGATTTAGTGACTTTTAAGCTTTTGCCTTTTATAAAAGTTGGATCTCCCATTTTGAATACTTGTGAGATATTTAATATCAAAACATACCTTAAAAGCAAATATATCTTAAGTAAACTATTATTATTTTGACATATGATGTTCTTTATATCATAACTTATAAACTCAAAACTTACAAATATCAAGGATTACGAACATGTTGAATCGAAAAAACAAATTGTTTTTCCTTTACAACGTACTTCTATTCTGTGGTTCGGAATACATACAACTTATAACAAAGCGTATATCTGTAAAGTGCAATTCAAAATACTTCGTGGATAAACTTCATTATTTTTAGCCACGAGAATATCTTACTATTCTTCTTAATATTTTAATTTTAATAAATAATAATAATAAATAATAATAAATAATAAATAATAAATAAATAATAAATAAACATTATACTATTTTAATCGCACATATTACAATATATAATTCGTTATGAAAAAGGAATTTCATCGAATTTGCATGTATTCCAAACCAATAAAAATAAAATCGAAGGAAATATACATATGCAGTTTTGATACTTACAGACGTTATAGATTGACTTGGAGATAGTGAAACTTGTGAAATTTGGCACAAAGATTGTCAATACGAGATAAAAATTTAGTGAGTAATTACGAATAATAACAGGCAATTTTTCCGAAAGATTATAACATTTGAATCACACACACTATCATAAATCTCCACGGGCGGAGCATCTTGCCACACCGAATCGTTCTAAATATAACCAATGCGAGCGTGATATCATTCAGTATCAGGGTTGCCAGGTTTTGGAAAACTAATATCAAAATAATGTTGATACTTGAAAACATCACAATAGCGGATAGACCGTCAAAAATAGTCAGCCTTGGACAAATTTTTGTGAAGGCAAAGAAGACCTAAAAGCCCCGGAAATAATTAAAGAAGGATGACATTATCAACTATTTTTAGTTATTGGATATTCAGTGTGCAATGAAGTACTAATTTTATAATTTTATAATTTATCTTAATTTGTTTTATTATTATGTGTATATAGATCTACAATGGGGGACCCGATGAAAAATTTTTCATGCAAAATTATGTATGAAATTTGTCCATATATAATTATGTATAATTATATATAATCATATAAAATTATATATAATTATATACAATTATGTATAACAATATATATAATTATATATAAATCTATGTGTAATTATGTAAAATTATATATGAATTTATATATATTATTATACATAATTATGTATAATTACATATATAAGTAGAATGTATGAACATGAATGGACAAATTTATATTTATATATAATTATGTATAATTATATATAATTTTATATAATTTTATATAATTATATATGAAAAATTTTTCATTGGGAATATATTAAATTTTTATAAAACTGCACTTCTGTATCTATTATCTACGCTGATTTTACACAAATTTATTGACAAATTTGCCGACAAAATTTTACGCTCCTAAGTACTTGTGCGGGACTTTTGATCGATAACGTCAGAAATGAGAAAATGCATACCTAAAATTCTCGCAAAATACTCGAAATAAAAAAATATATCTCAAATATAACATTTTCAGTCGATTAAGCATATCTGTAAAATATTCCGAACATTTTTTTTGCTTCAACATTCAATAACCGTAAAACTAATATGACATTAAACTTTTTTTTTAACCTCAGTTTTCTCATGTCAATTTTACGGTTATTTATTAATCGTTTAAATAAAAGAAGTGTTTAGATTATTTTACGAGTCTGCTCAATTAATTACATATATCATTTTGTAAACACATAATTTTATTTCAACGTACTTTGCAAGAATTTTTAATGTGTATTTCCTCACTTTTCGTCAAACATCTAGATGGCCGCGGCAAGAAATCAGAAGCTTTAAACCATATATCTCACGCTACCGTAATAAAAATAAATCTACTTTATTTTGGAACACATGTGCAAATAAAACAGCTATCATATCTGTGTATTAATTGCGTATTAATACAGACATCGTTATTAAACAAAAAAAACATAATTAAACATACTGACATATTATCTTCAATTACTCTCAATTCATGACTCCATTTACGGACAAATTTTTCAGCTGTAATTATTAAAACACTTCAATGTACACTGTACAAGACATGCATTTATTAAATAGTAATTTAAATTTTTGTAAAGACAATTCTAATATTTTAAAACAATCCCAAATAGTTTTTGAGATTGAGTAAATATCTCTGTCTTTATTGAACGCGCATCCAAGTATACTCGAATATTTCTGTATTCTTCCCTTATTTGCTTACAATACATAAGCAGTGTTATAAAAGGATGGTTCCTTCCTTTTTTAGACGCATTCATTTACTTCCAGATATATGCAATGACAATAGGAACAAACAACAATTTCTTTTCCAAATTACATACATAGCTTTGAATCATATTCTAGAAGTAAATTAGGACTACATTCCATATTCAGCTGTTTTAAGACCATTATAGTGTTAATGATCTTCACCATCTGGTGATGGTTTATGTTTGCTGGTTTCTTCCGGCTGGAACTCAGGTGTGTGCGGCCATATTGTCGGTCTGTTAATTGGATCCAAAGCATATTTCGGATAGGCATCTCGGAAATCTTCCATTGTCATTTCAGAAAATGGCAACATACTCTTTATCTTCTCAATGTCCTTGTTAGCTATGCCGATCTTCTCATTAGTTTTTTTTATAAAGTTTTCTATTTCTACCAACTATAAACATTCATTCTATTAGAACAAATCTATATGAATGAAACTGTTGTAGGGCTGTCAGACTTTCAAATTTCAGCTGAGTAGTTCAGATTTCACCACCAATATCCAGTTAATATTAATAATGACCAGGTTCTGGGCATTTAAAAGTGTATTTTCTTGTCTAATTTTGCATTTGTCGCTGTCATAATGATTATAATTATATAATCTGTGATTATATTCTTTTATTTTTATAATAATGCAATATTTTCTTATTTGTTGTCAATTATAATTATAGATTTGTGATTATATTCTAGTATATATAAAAATGATAGATCACACTTTTGTATAAGAATATATATGATAAATCTTTATATAAAAATTATAACTCCTTGAGATTACATTCCTGTTTTGCTATACTTTTTGTTTATCATTATTATAACGATTATAAATTTGACATTTTTTATATATTTATGCTATATCTTTTGATATATATTCTTCAAAAATATATTTTTATAAACTATATTATATTCCAGTTCTATATTTTCTTGTTATTATGATTATAAACCTATTGATATATTTTTGACATGTTTTTCTGATATATCTTGACATATTCTACAAAACATATATTTTCGTAAACTATATTTGCAGTTATTTTTTTTTATTTTTTTGGAAATTTTCCTAGATTTTTCAATTTTCAAGTCCGACAACTCTACTTGCAATTAAACTTTGGACATTACTATTCGCTTTTCCTCATCCTCAATTACAGAGGTGTATTTATCTGCCGGATATGGCACAGAGAAAGCCTCATATTCCTTCTGAAATTTGTCCACTAATGCAGGCATTGCGATATTCTTCTTATAGAATGCCCAATCAATCTTGGGTATTGTTTCTGGGTATGCGTTCATTCTGTAATATAAATGTAAAAACCAGTATTGTGTAATCTGTTAATAAATCTCTTTCCTAATTGTAGGCAAAGTTCAGTTTTAAACATAAAGACTACACGCAACGCCTTAATAGGTGTGAAATGAATGGAGCAAGATTATGGTAAGGTAAGGTTATCCCAATGGAGGTTATGCGCAAGTGAATTTCCGACTATATTTGACAGATTAGCTAAAAGAAAACGATATGACATATCGTCTCTGCCTGTGTTTCTTAACTATCAAAATCCAATTCATAATTTATACAAGCAAATAAGTTGGTTATATTATATAATCGTAGTTCATGTATGCATCACGAGAAATTGATTTGCACTGACCGTTGCAAATGTTGATCGGACTTGGCTTTAAAGGCAGAGAACGCTGCTTTTTCTGTCTCCGGAATTCTTTCAGCAAGCGCTGCCCAATTAATCGCCTTAATCGCCCTGCGTGACATTTTGTCGTACTATTGTGTCTACTCAGAGGAAGACGGTCGATCAGGCTAGTGAAGGTTGGACCAGGTTATTGGATAAATCTCCTTTCCACGCATGCGCGTCGAATGTGATACCAATGAATGGCTGCATTCAGCAGAGAAAGCTGCTTTGCAACTGTTGTAAAATTCGTGAATCTAATTGGAGCATGCTCTTAATTTTGGTTGAATCCAAGAGCATGTACCAATCAGATTCACGAATTTTACAACAGTTGGGCCACGTTCCGTTCACGCAATTGCGCACATTTATCTATAGTTCGTGTTACGTATATTGTAGACAACGCGCGCATAATGCCTGAAACGGAACGCAACCTTGCAAAGCAGCTTTCTCTGCTGAACGTAACCATTGGCCGCGTTCAGTAGAACAAGTGATCAGTAAGCGCTCAGGGAGCTCTTGTATATGATTTGGCATATTCTTTTAGATCTCCAACTATACTCCAATCAGATGCAAGAGCTCACTGAGCGCTTACTGATCACTTGTTCTACTGAACGCGGCCAATGTAATTGGTCTAGATTTAGGGATCTAATAGCAAGAACCAATAATCGTTGATTGCTCACTGAGCGCTTTTTCTACTGAATGCGCCCATTGAGTGCGTTCAGCGAACTCAACAGTTGTACAACAGTTGAGCAATTCGTCAATGGGCGCATTCAGTAGAAAAAGCGCTCAGTGAGCAATCAACGATTATTGGTTCTTGCTATTAGATCCCTAAATCTAGACCAATTACATTGACAAATTACTCAACTGTTGTGCAACTGTTGAGTCTGCTGAATGCAACCAATGGCCGCGTTCAGTAGAACAAGTGATCAGTAAGCGCTCAGGGAGCTCTTGTATATGATTTGGCATATTCTTTTAGATCTTCAACTATATTCCAATCAGATGCAAGAGCTCACTGAGCGCTTACTGATCACTTGTTCTACTGAACGCGGCCAATGTAATTAGTCTAGATTTAGGGATCTAACAGTAAGAACCAATAATCGCTGATTGCTCAATGAGCGCTTTTTTCGCTGAACGCGTCCATTGTATACATGGGCTGCGTTCCGAAATTCATTGCCAATACTGAAATTCTATAACATACGTGACATAAACTATAGGAATGCTTACGATAACGAGAGTAGAGCGAGTGAGATCTGGATCCGAGAGAGAATTGTATAATCACCCATCTATAACTGTAATATTCTATGGTCTGCTCTTACTCCTGCTCTTGCAGTCTCATGAACACAGGAGCAGATCAGGGGTTCGATTCTTGATGGTATGCGAATGAGATACGCATGTGAAAATGTACCCTGGACATGTCAATATAAAGGGCAATGAAATGGCTGATCGTATGGCTACGGAAGCCTCAAGGAATAAGGATACTACAACCAATCATCAGGATATTATATTTGATAATAGGATCCCTTTTTAAGGAATCCAAGACTCAAGCTATGGAATTTTTAACCGAATCGGCAAAGCATTGTGGATATAGATATTTTCATCGTACACGCATAAAAGACTTTGAAGTATGGTTTAAAAATTACCCTCACCTTCCTCGGAAAATTATCATTCTGATAATAAATAGACTCCGTACGTTCCATGTTCGCGTTGCCGATCACTTGTTTCAGAAGAATTTTATTGAGTCTCCACTATGTGAATGTGGGGACACTATCAATAGAACATTTTATGCTGGAGTGCGCACACTATTCTAAAGAATCAGACTTGTTGAGGATCGGCCTTATTAAGGCCGGAGTTAATTGGCTCGTCACCATCGCTCATCTGGTGTTTGAAGATAACGAAATTATCTTTAGAGAACTCTGGAATTTTGTCCAGTCTTCCGGCAGACATCTCTAGTATTTTCACTACAAGAATTGGTTAATCGTCAGCGGACTCTTCTGCGTATCAACTGTATTCCAAATTTACTAATAGCGTGTTCAACTGGCCCTGGGTTAATCGCTCCGAGAGCGATTAATGACGTCATAAGTCTCTACTAGCTAATCATAAAGCTTATAAGTACTTGTTCGACCAATAAACGTAGGCTGAATAACCCAGAGTGCGTTAACCCAGAGCCAAGTTTATTTTATGTATTTATTGCATGTATTTTATGTATTATTTTATATGAAATATATATTTTCTGCAGATTTATAATTTTAATATAAATAGAATATTTTATCTTTTAATAATTTATCCTAAAGTAATCCTAGACAAGCAGATCTCCAAGGGACGTTCTAAAGACATCAATATGTCTTAAAAACATGCTGAAAAAATTCTAAAGATGTCTATTGCAAATTGGTGTTATCTTGAGTATATTGTAATATTTGTTTTACTTACAAATTCACATTAATTCTTTCATTTTTCACAAGTTTAGTGAAGGTTTTCATCTTTCACGAGTTCATTACAAAATTTTTACTTTTCACGAGTTTACATTAGGGGAAAAGATTCATGAACGCTATCCAGGAGCAAGAGCAGACCATAGAATATTACAGTTATAGATAGGAGATTATACTATTCTCTCGGATCCAGATCTCACTCGCTTTACTCTCGTTATCGTAAGCACCCTAAAGCCTGTATCAGACTACCGACTGTACAGGCCGACCCGACTGCCGACTACGACTACCGACTCTCAATGAACCAATCACAGTGAGGCGCCGACTCGACGCCGACTCGGCGCCTCACTGTGGTTGGTCCATTGAGAGTCGGCAGTCGTAGTCAGCAGTCGGGTCGGCCTGTGCAGTCGGTAGTCTGATACGGGCTTAATGGTCATTTTCACCATCTCCAGTTACCTTAACTACTGGTTAAATGTGCACGGTGATTGGTTAATCTTGTTAAACGACAAGTGCGATTGGTCAGTTCCAACGGAATAACTAGCCGGTTAAAGTAATCGGAGATGGTGAAAATGACCATAAATGTCCTAAATTTTGGAAAATCGGTGATACCCACAACTTTTTCGTCTTTTTCGTATTATGTATTTTTTTATTTTTTAACAAATACATCGCTGTAACTGCAGCAGCTATATATCGTCTTCGAACTTCACCTATAATCGCCACTGTATATCTATAATATTTTATATACTCCATATCTCGATTATAACCCTCCATTTTTATACTTATTGCAGTTTATACAGGATTAAACGTGATAAATAGGATATGGGCGAGAGCGAACAGCGTTATAACGCTGCTTTGAACTATACTGAACTGGGGATAAAACGCTAGCTTCATTCGCTCCATGAAAAGGATACAGATGATGGCAAACAGCTTTTAGGGCCATGGCACACAGAAAAACTTAAGCAATAAGACGTAAGTATTAAGCAAATTGACCAATTACAGTCATTGATTCTTGAACCGTAAGAAAAATCAGTGATTATGATTGGTCAACTTATTTATTGCATACGTTTTACTGCTTAAGTTTTTCTATGTGCCATAGTCCTTAAACGCTGCTTTGAACAACGATGGAATGGAGTGAAACGCCAGGCTTTATTCGCTGCGTGAAATCGCACCTTAAGAGTAGTGGCACATAAAAAACTTAAGCAGTAAAATGTAAGCAGTAAGCAAATTGACTAATCACAGTCATTGATTCCTCTTAAGCTGGTGGCACATAGAAAAACTTAAGGGACGTCTACATTGGAAGTAAGCAGTAAGAAGTAGGAAGTAAGAATAAGAAATTGACCAATCATAGTAGATTATTCTTCTCACATTCGACTGTAGTTGGTCAATTTCTTACTCTTACTTCCTACTTCTTGCTATTTACTTCCAATGTAGACGTCCCTTAAAGCAATAAAACGTAAGCAATAAGCAAATTGACCAATCACAGTCATTGATTCTTCTTACGGTCCAAGAATCAACGACTGTGATTGGTCAATTTGTCTACTGCTTACGTCTTATTGCTTAAGTTTTTCTGTGTGCTACGGCCCTTACGGTCCAAGAATCAATGACTGTGATTGGTCAATTTGCTTACTGCTTACGTTTTACTGTTTAAAGGCCTTCAAACACACTTTCCGTAACAGTAACCGTAAGACGTAACGTAAGAATTGACCAATTACGATGGAGTATTCACAAAAATGGCGACCTTATGTTTCGACGATTTTCAACGTGATTGGTCAATTTTTACGTTACGTCTTACGGTTACTGTTACGGAAAGTGTGTGTGAAGGCCTTAAGTTTTGCTGTGTGCCACGGCCCTAAGAGTGCGTTTCCACTTAGCTCAAATCGTCCCATTTTATTGCGTAACTTTACGTCGAATAAAATGAGACGATTTGATTGGCTTAATTCGGACGACGTAACGCGTGACGCACTAAGTAGGAAAGCACCCTAAGTCCCAAGCCACAATAAGTGTAGTAAACTTTAAGTCTTAAGAAATTGATCCATCACAGTCGATTATTCTCCTCAAATTTGACTGTGATTGGTCAATTTCTTAAGGCTTAAAGCTTACTATATCTATTGTGAATTGGGACTAACGTCATCATAAGAGACCATCTACAATCGTAAGGAAAATCGTACGCAGTAAGAAATTGACCAATTATATTGGATTTTTACAAGAATAATCGATTTTGATTAGTTAATTTCTTATTGTTGCAGCGTACGATTCTCCATTGTAAATGGTCCTCAAACCAGTCTTAAAAGAGCTGCGGAATAGAGAATGCGTCATAGAAGTAACCAATTAGCGCTATGTCGCTCTTTGCTGATTGGTTGCTTCTATAACGCACTCTCTATTCCACAGCTCTTTTAGGGTGGAGTCCCATGGCACGTATTTTCCGCGTACCGCGTAACCAATAAATTGCGATGTTTAGTATTTCTGTTGGAACTTCTAAAAGAATAGAAAGATATGATTGATCATGCGGTTATGCGTTATGCGAAAATACGTGCCATAGGACTCCATCCTTACTCTGTATATAATTTTACTTTAAAAGAATGGGTTACACGACATTTTCCCGAAAATTAGATGGAAAAATGTTGGTACCAACAAAAACCCCTAAGTAACACAATTTCTACGGATTAATGACAGTTTGTTATTTGACACATACACACGCATAGGTCAAACAACTCCGCAAAATTCATGGACTTGCTACTTCTACAGTATCACTAATCTGCAGAAATTAAAATTATTTCTAGGGATTTTTGTTGGTACCACCATTTTCCCATCTAGTTTTCGGGGAAATGTTGTGTAACCAAAGAACGTCTACATTAGAAGTAAGTAATAATGGCTCCTGCACACAGAACGCGGTAATGCTTGCCGCGTGGCGGAAGTCTGCACGACAAGCATTACTGCGTCCTGTGTGTAGGAGCCATAAGAAGTAGGAAGTAAAGCCAGCGGCACACGATGTTTGTTTTCATGCTGGATTGCTTGCTGGATGGAAATACTCTATTCTGATTGGTCCGTCTTTAGAAATGCACCAATCAGAACAGAGTATTTCCATCCAGCAAGTAATCCAGCACGAAACATGCATCGCGTGCCGCTGGCTTAAGGTGCCTTTACATGGGAGCATCGTGCATCGAGCGTTAAAGTGATAGCCAATCAACGTGCTACTTTCCGCAAGAATTATACTTCTGGAACTATGATTGGCTAACGCTTTAAAGCCCATATCAGACTACCGACTGCACAGAGCGACCCGACTGCCGACTACGACAACCGACTCTCAATGGACCAATCACAGTAAGGCGCCGAGTCGGCAATCGTAGTCGGCAGTCGTAGTCGGCAGTCGGGTCGGCCTGTGCAGTCGGTAGTCTGATAAGGACTTAACGTTCGACGCTGGAACGCTCCCATGTATTGGCACCTTTAAGAAATTGACCAACCACAGTCGAATATGAAAAGAATAATCAACTATGATTGGTCAATTTGTTATTTTTATTTCCTACTTTTTATTACTTACTTCCAATATAGACGCTTTTTAAGTTAACCAAACTCGGTAGAAACGAGCGTTGATTGGATTATACACACACATACAAGTATATATCACATAATTATTTTTTTTATGCATAAATAATATACATATTCTATATACAGCGTTTGATGCCTATAAAATATGACATTACAAATTATTTTAATGTAGAGAAGATATATAAAAACAGAATTGTATATCTTACAAGGGAACAAGAAAACTAATTGATGAAAATTAATTAAAAAGACATGCGTTAGAATAATCAACTGTAGTTAATCAATTTGCTTACGGCTTAAAAAATTGTGGATTATGAATTAGAGCTAAAAGTTGGTCACCCTATTTATGCCCGTGTCAGACTATGGATTAAGGATTGTAATCGGACCAATTAAGTAGAATCAAATTTACCTGACTAGCCTAATTATAACCCTCAATTCATACTGTGATACAGCTGTTAACAGCTTTCCGATTGACTTTCAAGCACATTTTGAGACATTTTTTTCTCAAAATAAAAGAGTTTAGAATAAGCACCTATGACGTTATTAGTCGCTTCCGGATCGATCCAAATACGTTTCAATCGAAAACGTAAGATTCACGTTGCAAATATTACTGTGCCTACATAGGCCCATATTCTGAATTCTCTATTATCTATAAAAGTGCTTCTAAAAGAGGCTTAGGAGCCATCTGATTGGCTGAGAAGCTATATTCAAGGCACTTTTATCGATAAAAGAGGGTTCAGAATATGAGCCTTTGTCGACAATAATGTTTGAGATGTCGTTACTGTGTTCCTTCGAATATTCAGTAGCCATAATTCATGAATATACAGATGCGACGCGGGCGTTTCCGAAAAATCCCGACGACCGCACGATCAATGTTGAGGCATTTATGCGGTGTACAAAAGCAATATCGGCCGTTGTAAATCGGCGTCACTGAACGTTATGATGTGACGGAAAGTCGTTGTGTGTTGCACATCTCGACCGTGTAATCGATAAAACAGAATGGCCGAGTTCGTCTAGAGAGGGGAGGGAGAGAGAGAGAGAGGGAGAGAGAAAGAGAGAGTGACAGCGCGTCGGGAGGAAGAGAGTGAAGGAGAGAGGGAGCGACAGAGAGAGAAGGAGAGAGGCGACGGGGAGATAGGGCGCGCGCGTCTCAGGGTGGGTGGAGTGGGCGGCACGTCGACGGCGGCGGCGACGGCAGCGGAGGAGGAGGAGGAAGAGGAGATGGTGGTGGCGACGACGGCGGTGGTGGTGGTGGCGGCGGCAGGCGACGGTGAGCATAAAGAGGATAGGATAATATCGGTGCGCGTCCTCCTGCGGAGGTGCCCTTTCGCGGGTTCCGTACCCGTTTCGCCCGTTACCACACCAGACTCCCGCAGCCGATCGGATAGCGGCCGAACTTCTACGATGTAGTTATGCCGAAGAAGGGCACACGGCATGTGAGGGAGCCGGCGAACACGAGAAGCAGCGGCCAGCAGCCGCAGCAGCAGCAGCAGCAGTACAGGGGCTGCGCCGCGCCGCTGTCTGACACAGCGACAGCGACGGACGCTCCGGAAGTGGCGACAAGGCACTTTCGCAGCGTACACATCGGCGTGACGAATGGCAAGCGCTGGCTATCGTTGAAGAAGCGTCTGGGACTGACCACGGACGAGGATGTCGCGGTGTATCTGCTGGACCTCGCGGAGTCCGCCGCTGTCACCAGGTATGTCTTTTTTTCATGGTGTCGTCGTTGTCGTGAGTCACGATTACCTCGTGAATCTCCGACGATTACGACGAGGACTGTGCTGACGGCGGACGCGCTACATCTGTCAACAATGTCGCGCGCGAACCCCAAACACCTCTCGGCGAACGCACGACAGCCTAACCTGTCACGCGTTCGGGGCTCCCCCCCACTGTCACCTAGCGTTCCATTGAATCGCCATCTTGCGGGGGACGACGGGTTTTCCGGAAAGGGGCAATGAGATTGGGAGGGAGAGGGGGTGAAGGTAGTCGGAGCGCGATCGATAACACTGCCGCGCGCGCGAAAAACGCACGCGTCGCTGTCGCGCGACGTTTTGAAAGTCGAGTGATCGTGGCAATCGATTGTAGTTATCGGGCGATATTTTTATTTGCAGCTATTTCCGTCTCTCTTTTTTCTCTCATGGTATCACTATTGTAGCAAATCCTTTTAATGCACCTCCTAGGATGGATTCGTAATTGTTTAAAAAACGCAGCAATATACAAAATTGTAGACATATGTTTTGCAGATGCGTTTGTGTGCAAAGATTTGTATAATCTGTTGATTCCTTCAACACATGTCACTCTAAATATAAAAAAAACGTTAAGGTATTTTATTGAAATAATTCAGTTAAAGTGAGCTTATTGAAAAGTGAAGATACTTTACGAGATATTTTGTAGTTCATAGACTGAGAAATGTCAAGATAAAATGAAATGAAATATTTATTTATTTATTATTTCGGAAAATAAAAAAACGGGCTTCATTGTGGTATTTTTATATACGGAATAACGAGTAAAATCAATTTATGTTTAAAAAATTATGATTCTACTGAACATAATAGATTTGACCTTTATATGATTCAAGATGCCTGCACATGGAAAAATATTATTCTTTTGCTAAAAAAAAGCGATCATTTACATTCCTTCTTTTAAATAATGATTGATTTCAACAAAGAATATTTTCTTGATAATAATTTTAAAATATACTTATCACTTATTCTAATAAAGCTCATTTATTATATATTCAAAAGAAGAATTTATTCTTTTTACAAAAATGTTATAACACTTTATCAAAGAAAAAGTTGCTTTGACTCTATGTAATAAATAAATTGAATTTTTATTTTAATCTAATATTGTTGACTGAAATGTTAAATTTACTGAAATGCAGAATGTATTTTGAATAAATTTGATACTTATGATGAACTTATGATAGAGAGATTTGCGGACATATAAATTTATAAAATGTAACATTTGAACAACATTAAATGCAGTATATATTTTTCTGTGGGCACATAAGAAAAGATGAAGTAGTAAAAGTACAGTCTCTTCAAAGTCATTTTACTTCTGATTAAGAAATTTTTCCACGCATTTATTAATATTTATAAAACTATTCAGATCATTGATCCTAATGATAACAATTTTTTTTACACACAGGCAAGAGGATAAATGTAATGGAGCAGAGGAGTGGAGCCAGAAGGCGAGCCAGATCAAGGATCTCAATGAGGAAGCTCTCAAGATTAAAAATTCAGATGACGAAGAGAAAGCGGAGGAAGAGAAGGAAATAGTCACTCGCAGAAGTCTGAGGAAGCATGAATCCACGGCCGCCGCGGTCAGGGTGCACCCCGCCGGTACAATAAGCGATGTGTCGTCGGCGGTGCTGGACAACGTAATCAAATTGCATGTGAGACGCAGCTGGAAGTCCAAGTACCACAAAAACAAGACGAAACATCACAAGGACAAGCGCAAGAAGCGGCGGCACTCGAAGAATGGCGAGCCCGAGGATTCTAGCGCTATGTCTGTGAATGGGTCTGAATACACCGGCGAGGAAACATCGGAAAACGTGCAAAACGGCTCCGCAACATGTGAGGACTCAAACAATTGCGAGACTACGGCGACGGTGGTCGGTAGTGAGTTAGACGCTAAATTAAAATTAGGCGTAAAGAGATTGGGCATCAACACAAAGGACGTTGAAGCCGCCACGATAAAGACTGAGCACGTAGATAGTGTAAGATTTATAAGCGATGTAAATAATACGAGTAACGACACCAGGTGCAATGCGAATACTGGCCCCAGTGTATCCGGCGAGCCCAATAAAGATTTAGAAGGTAATAGAACTAGGCTGCAGTTCGATGACGCGGCAACGTTCGCCCTGCCGAAGTGCGGGTGTCAAAACGATTCCAGTAAGAACGCGGAGTATCCATTCAACGCGATCGTCAACGCCGAGATTGAGGAGTCGCAAACCGTGAGCGTGCTCAGCAGAGAGAAGACGAGCGTAGAGTCGCAGGAGTCGCACAAGGACGCAAACTGCGACGCGTCGAAGGACGATGAGCCGAGTCTCAACGGGGATGATCGTAAAGTGAAGAAAAAGCGGAAGAAGCGCAACGAGGTTGCACAGGTCGACGAGAATGCTTCAGAGAAGGATTCCTTGGAGATCAGCGCGGACGATGTGGTGTTGAAACATCGGCGGAAGAAGCACAAACACACTAACGAGCACAAAACGAAGAAACACCATGACGTACGCAGGGCGCCTCAGGATGGTATCGTCGTGGTAGAGGAAACGATTCAGGAGATCGCTCCGGAGGTTGAGTCGCCGTCCTCGATGGGATCCGGCAAGGTCCCTGAGAGTGCCGACAGTGTCATATCTGAGCCACAAAGATTGGCTATTAAGATCAAGCTCTGTCAGGAGTGCAACAGCCGTCATCTGCAGGATGCGTGTCCGTTGGTAACGCCGCAGTATACGATTACGGACACGATCTCTTACGAGGAATGGCTGGGCAAACATCAGGACAACGAGGAACTTGTCAAGGCCATGAAAACGAACGACCCAATGTCGGAAGGCTATGCGAGACTGCCGGACGAAGGCTGCGATTCGGATGACGAGTCCGATGACAAGAACAAGACGAAGATGCAGAGAGAAGAGAGGCTGGTGGTGGTCGAAATGGACCGGCCCTTGTTCGCGAGAGACTCACTGCCAGATTGTCTTGAGTTAAGGTTCACTAATAGCGAACACGGGCTCGGAATATATGCCAAAGACCCGATGCCGATGTATGCCAAGTTAGGTCCACTCATCGGCATTCCGATCAAAGAAATGGATATCCCAGACGATTTCTCCATGCGCCATATCTGGGAGGTATTATCGTTATCGTGCGGCTTACTTTCCGTGATTTCTCGCGATCCTCGTTGCACAACTACAAGATGTCCTATTTTAATTTATCGCCTCTAAAACTTTTTTATTTTTAATTGTAGAAAAAAATGTTTTAGACGAAAGTTATTTGGTTTGAAGTGGAATACACAATTGCGATGTGAAACATGTATATAAATGTCGTCGTTTTCAAGGAATTTTAAAAGTGATTAATTTCTTAAATGGAACTTAATTTTTTCCTTGAGATAAAAATTGTAAATCTCGTCAAGACGTCTTCGAAACACTCCCCAAAATTGTCTTTTGCATAAGTCATTCCAGAAATATGAAGCTTTAAAGTTTAATCAGACACCTCAGTGAAAGCGATTCACGTTAATGAAACCAAAGGGAACAGAAACCTTTTACGTCCATGCCGTTGTTCTTGAGTAATATAAAAAGTAGGATAGTGAATAGAAATTTAAATAGTGTAGTGTTATTTAGAACAACTATTTTAAAGCTTTCTGTACGAACCATACATGTGGAACCAGTGGCTTTGTAAATTTTGAAGTTTCACATCTCTAGAATGGCTAATGCAAAGACAATTTGGAAGGGAGGGGGGGGGGGGTTTACAACATTTATTTCAAGGAAAAAATCAAGTTCCATTTAAGAAAATTAGTTGCTTTTAAAATTTCCTTAAAACGACATCTACGATATGGCTCATATCGGAATATATATATTATATACTCCAACCAAACCAAACAACTTTAAATTAAACCAATCTGAAGCATTTTTCTACAACCAAAAATAAAGTTTCAGAAGTGAGTAAATTAAAGTAGGACATCTTGTATATTAAGAAAATTATTATGATATTAAAGATATTATTATGTAAAAAATTAGAATTATTAAATACTTGGTTTTGGAAATACAGCCATATAAATAATAATATAATTTATAGTACTATTCTAGCTACGAGAACGAAACTATGTTCATTCAATCCATTATATTCTACATATTACTTCCATTACACTCTAATGGGAATATGTTAAGAGAAAAAATGGGCATTAACAAATCTGTATATAGAAATAAATAACTTTTGCATATGTAGATGCACGATAGAATCGTTTGGCAATTTCAGCTAAAAGCTTACACCAATAAATGAAAGAAAATTAATTTATTACGATCTTTTTAAGTATCTAAGTAAGTATCTAACGTTTTCGATTGTATTGCCATGAGACAATTACTTTAATAACGTAAATAATTTACTTCCTTTCAGGTAGATAATAATGGGAAGAGTATATACGTCAGCACTACGGATCCGCTAAAGAGCAATTGGATTCGATATATAAGACCAGCTGAAACGAAAGAGAAAAGGAGCGTCGCCGTTGTCACAAAGCAAGGCCAACTGCACCTTGTCACTACGCAGCATATCATATCGGGCATGGAACTCACTTATTGGGCAGAGTCGCAATCTTTCGCATGGGCTAGGAAGAATAAGACAGACAAAACGAGTGCGTAAACTTTGCCCAGTCAATAACAAAAACATCGATGACACTTTTTTCTATTTGATACGACTTTTCACGCTAATCTTTCTACTTTCAGATTGCGGGGGATGTAACTTGAACTTCTCGCACCCGATATATTACCGGTTACACTGTTGCATCTTTCATGACACCAATTACAGTTTGACCATAAGAAAGTATCACTGCAAGGTAATCACTCCTCCTTTTCGATATACGTGTTCTTCGTGTGACAGTATTTTGATATTATTAACCACCGTTACGCTTGAAAGTATATTTAACTATTTTTTTTTTACTTAAAAGCTCAGTATAATTATTTATTAAAAGTAATTCATACTACTCCATCGTTATTCGTTGTTACCGTTATTTATTTTATTTATTAAATGACTCGTTATCGTAATTTAAAGTTTAACAAAGCAATCAATAAACATAAATAAAGAACTATAAGAGCCAATTGCGGATTATAGTTGCACTTTATTGTTTAAAAACACATGTACAATCATATTTAACGCTTAGAACGTTTTGACTAACTCTTTTGGTTGGTCATTGTCAGCCGAAATTATATAATTAGTTTGAAAAAATTTCATCTTTAATTAATATTCTTGTAAATTCTAAGAAACATATCGTTGACTTAATTATTTGCAAACCATGCAATGAAATTGACGACAGGCATTTTTCTCGTTTATGCACACAGATTTCGAATTTAATCATGTTTTTATCTAGAAAATTCCACCTAACATTTAGTATCGATTTTTCAACATTCAATCCGTAGGTTTTAAAAATATTTTTCCACAAGAATTATAGTTTGTAACAATAAAATTAATTAGTTTATTAGAAAAAAGAAAAAGGCAATTATATATCCTATACAATTTTATTCATATGTAATACCACAAGAAAAAGTTATTAATAAAAGTAATAGAATGACACTTAGATCTTGCAAAAATAACATTGAGAGACTTACAGGAATCCTATGTCGAATTTTCATTTAACAAATTACCACATATGTCAGATATCAAAAAGATCTCAGTATACATTTTATTAGAAAAATTTGAACAGAATAATTCAGATCCTTTTATGCTGAAAGACAAATTATTAACATGTCTAACTGTTATTCCTGAGAAGGTTCAGAGTCTTTCATAGATGAGTGAAAGATTGAACCTACCTTTTCATCAAAAAGACAAAATGACTATAGATTTCATAAAATATATGTAGAATAGTTTTAGACAATCATCCAAACACCATTAGTACAGCTTAAATTTCAACTATATCTATTTTAAAAAACTGCTTAAATAATAATAATTTTTTGACAAAGATAGAAGATAGTTTATGTGCTAAAGAACAAGAGAAGTATCGAATTTTATTAAAAATAACTAGAATATTATGTTTTGTAAAGCTTATAATGTTACTGTAGCTTTGGACAGATCTGACTATGATTCTGGGATAAAGTCACTTCTTAATCACAGAATACGTATATACGTACAAGAATACGTATGAAATAATTAATCATAATGTAGTAAAAAAGAAATTGAAGAAACTTTAAATAATCTTTTCAAAGTTTGGAAAAATAAGAATTACATTACAAATGGCGTTTATAAAAAACTTCATTCTTCAGACTTAATATTATCTAAAACATACAGTCTTTCCAAGATTCATAAGCAAGGTTGTCCTTATAGAATAATAGTATCATCTTTAGGTAGCCTATTATATTATATGAAATTACCTCGTTTGTGTCAAGAACGATCGGTCATGTGAAGAATAACTTTACACTTTTTCATAAACTTTCAAATTTGAAACTTGACAACATATTCATCTTAGCCTCTCTGGATATAGTGTCTTTGTTTACCAATGTATCGTTGGATTTGACTATAATCAGTGTTAAAAAAAGATGGTGTGAAATAAAAAATCATACTTTGATACCTATTTAAGAATTTCTATGTACCGTTGAGTTCATATTAAATTCTACATACTTTATTTTTGACAATTCCTGCTATAGTTATTTGGAACCCCTATGGGCTTTCCATTGTTCCCGATTTAGTATTACAAGATTTAGAAAATCAAAATTTAAACTCTAACTAGATCTTTTACTACCTTTTATTTTAGATATATAGATGACGTAATCTTAACCATTCCAATTGATTTCATAGAATCAGTACTCTCAAAGTTTTTAATTCTCTCTATTCTCGTTTACAATTTATATTTAAATTGGAAGACAATAGACAAGACAATATAAGACAATAGAAAACTAACATTTTTGGATTTGATGTTAAATGTAATAGACAATACTATTATGATAGATATATATTAATATCTCAAAAACCTACTTTTTTCGAAGGTTTTTGAATTTCTGCGCATATTATATCAATTTAATATACTGTTGTTTAGTTAGATTGCACATAGATAATTTATGAATGTGTTCTATGAATATTTTTTACGAGTATTAATATATTCTATGAATCTACTAAAGCAATATTATATATTTATAGTAAGTTTATAATATATTCGAATAATACAATTATAAATATTCAACTATAAATATTCAACTATAAATATTCAACTATAAATATTCAACTATAAATATTCAAATATAAATATTTAAATTACAATTATATGAGCTCAGAATATTTACAAAATGTAAGTTAATAATTGATTTTGTATAATTATAATAATAACTTGAGTATTTTATCCTGTAGATATATTTTATCGTACTAAGCAATCATAAACCTATATTACTATTTGAAACATTGAAAGAGTTTTCAATTACATAAATGCATTGCACATGCACAATTAATAAACCTTATGAATGTTCTAGAAACGTTCTTTTCTATTATAAATATAAGAATCTCTCTACAATATTCTACATATTATTTCTATTATTTCTATTATAAATATAAGAATCTCTACAATATTCTACGTATATTCATAGGATATCCGAATTCAATATTCTGGAATTAAGAACATTTGTATTTCATATTTTCATAAAAATATTCATAGAATATTTTGTGCTATCTGAATATGCATTGTCGATATTAAGATAATTTAGTAGAAAATTAGTATTTATAGATTAGTATGTACGAGTGTAGTGAGTTAATGTGTCAAACGACCGGTATAAATTAGTACATTCTTATTGATTTTTACTAGTTTTTACTCTGAATACTTTTGTTTATTTAAAATAATTTTTTCTTTTAGGTTTGCGGCGCCGCCGTTCTCGGCAAGGACAACATCATGAAACACGCGGCGGAGTTGCACGGAGGTCGCGGCGCGTATCAATGTCAATACTGCAAAAAGTTTTTCTTGAGGCTTAACTACCTAGAGATGCACAGGACCTATGGGTGCGCGCAGAATCCACAACGATCACGACCATTGTGCGATTTCTGCGGGCGCAAATTCTGTCAGCCGCAAAAGCTGAAAGTACACATCAAAAGAATGCACAACGGTAGGAATTCTTAATCTCGACGTGTAATGTTTTCTTCTTCTCTTTTACAATTTTCTCATATTAATGAAGTATTTTGTCGCGCAGATATGGCTGAGGTGTTAAGGGAATTTCAATGTAAATTGTGCTTGAAACTGTTGGGGTCCCGCGCAGCTCTTCAGCGCCACATGAAGGAAGTACATCACAAGGACGTTGTCGCCGCGGCGACCTGCGATCGATGTGGGAAGATGTTCCAGAACAAAAGCAACTTGAAAATACACATGCTGACGCATAGTGGCGTAAAACCGTTCAAGTAAGTCCAATTTTTTTATGTTATTTATATTATTATGACATTTTATATTATTATAACTTATATTTTTTTCTTAAGATGTATCCAGCAAACACAAAGTAACAGTTATATAATTGTTAGTTATAATTTCCCACTCACAATAATATAACTGTTATATAACGCGTGTATTATATAACGATGTTATCGATCGTTGTGAGAAATTATAACTAACAGTTATATAACTGTTACTTGGTGTTTGTTGGGATACGAATTATTCTAATCGAATCCCTATGATTTGAATTTGAAAAATTCGAAAATTTCGAATCGAAAAGAAGAATACGAATCGTGTACATTAGTCTTTATAGAAAATACCTTTACACTATACAAATTTATAAATAAATTAATATAAATTGTAAAACAATAATTTGCGAACGCAAAGTAATCGTCGACTACGAAAATATAGTCACTATCTAAAGAACAAATCTGTTGACAGAGACTATGAGACAAATTATATTTTACCACGATAATTTATCAGTTCTCGATACTCACGCTTTAGAAACGGCGTCAATGGCGGATTGAATAGCGCACCCCAAAAATGAAAAATGAATTCTTAGTTAGTCAAAAACTTTCTCAGTCAAAGTCAGTTTATAAGTGTTGCTTACTTTTTTTTTATTTCAAATTTTTATTTAGAGTTATTTTTATTTTTTTACTTTACGTACTAATTGTGTGTATTCTTAAAACATTGCTGTGGGAAACTTTTTATTCTACTTTGATTTTCACTCTTTCTCTCTCTCTTTCTATGTGGCGTTAATACAATACTTTGTTTTTAGTACAAGATCTCATTTTATTTCAAAATAAGTTTATTTGCTATAATTTCTGAATAATTTAATTTGTATTTTTCGACGTGCACTTCAGGTCTACTGTCAAATCAATTATAATTATTACAAATTATTCTAAATGTTTAAGTATACATACCTTCAAATGAGTTGATAAAATCGATGTTATCCCTTTTACACACACACACGCACGCACGCACGCACGCACACACACACACACACACATTGAAGCCTTTCCTCACTATCTTTATTGAATTTAATGATTATGTAATATAATTAAAACTTTTGTTTTAAATATTTGATTCAATTTTATTTGATTCGAAAATAAGTAAGATTTGACTCGACATAAAAAATCCTTGATTCGCACATCTCTATCTTTTTGTTTATTTTTTTATTTTCTTTCCTATTTTTTTATTTTTTGATTAATACTTTCAATATTTTATATTAACGGTTTTATTTTTTTTCTTTGTAGGTGCAAAGAGAATGGCTGCTCGGCGGCATTTACCACGAAACAATGTTTACAATTCCATTACAAGAAGGTGCACGGTCTCTCGGAGGAGATGATGCCCAAAATTGAAAGGTCCGTGGCATATACTTTCGACGCGTACAGTGGTGGTCTCGTCGAGGGCATGCCTTGCAGAAAGACCATTCAATCTAACCGAAGAAATTCACAGGTAACTCAATCGTTATTCTATCAATTAAAGGAAAAATTCTGTAATTATATAAGCAAGTAAGAGCCAAACGATGTTCTTGTAGCAAAATTTAGTAATTTCAAATATTAAGTTGATGCGAAAAGTTTATAATTTTTCTCTTAAATATAATAGAAGAAAGTAGTAGAAAAAAATGTTGTAGTAGAAAGTTTTGGTATTAAAAGGAAAATAGGAAATTCTTGTTAAATATCTAAAAATATACGACGTTGTTTATTTTATTTGTAAAAATTATTAGTCCTTTGAAATAGGATAATTTTCCTTTTTATTTTATTTGACAAATACGACAAATTTTTACACTAAACTAATAGCTTTATACGAAGTCTTTGAAGTCATATGTTTTAGTCTTTATTTAATAAACTCTCTTCGTCTCTTACGTAGAGACTTACGTGTCTCTTACGTAGAGAAATGCATTTGCAAATTATACCCGGTCGCTATTTATTTTGAATTCTTTTTTTATATTCAAATGGATTTTCACGACGGTGTCGTGGAATAAAATTGTTTAGTAACGATGCGTTGACCGACGTGCTATCCATTATTAATCCATTATTATTCTGGGTACTCGCGTCTTTATTTTATGATTAAAAAACAGCTGTAAAATTAGTATGACATGCAATTCAAGTTTTAATTAAACTTTTCTCATCACTTCTGTTAATTTTATAGTTATTTATTGATTATAACAGTAAAACGAGATTGTTCAGAGCATTTTACAAATTTGTTGATTCGATTACAAGTGTCGTTATATAAATATATCTTTTTATTTCAATGTGTAATGCAAGAATCGCGAGCATGCGATTTCTTTCTTCTGACGTTATCAAACAAGGACGCGATTACCTAAGGGCCTTAATAAACACATAAGATTCAGCAAAACTGTTTTTCTCACTCATGCTATGTTTATAGCAGGACAACAGCAACAGTTTGCCATCTTTGGACGACTGCAGCTCGGAGAATAGCATGAAGGTCGAGGCACCGGTGAATCCAGCTCACAACACGATCATAGAATTCCAAGGCGGCGCGAACGCGGTGAAGTACAAGTCGGAGCAGGAACTTCAGCTTCCCGTGTCGCCGCACGGCGCGCCCTTATCCAGCATCGACACAACGACGGAGAACGTACAACGGACGACGGAGATCGATATATACGGCACGTCCGCGAAGGTGCAGAGCAAGGGCAGCAAGAAGTGGATGGGCGAATTTAACCCACCACCCTCGTCCGACTTAGTGACCACTCACGTCCCGGCGGCCACGGCACCACCCGACGTATACGACTTCGAGGACGACAGGAAAGACAGCGGCGAGAAGACGGCGCGCAGCACTATCGTGACGAATACGCAGAATCTGATTGACAGCAACAAGCTGAATTTGACAAGCGTGTATCGCCGGACAGAGAACGCGAGCGCGAGTGCGAGTCTGCTGGTCGAAGCGGCCCTGGACGCCGCGGAGAGGGACATCGGCACGGTTTCCAGTCCAATTTTGGAAGAAAATGATCGCGAGACCAATTTGTACACGATCCCGAACCCGTTGCAGTCGCCGATACCTCAACGATCGCCGAATCATTTGGACTCTTACATACAACAGCAAGACGAGCTAATGTCTCCCGCGCCGACGCCGGATGACCGGCACAGCCCTCCTAGCCATTTGCACGTGGACTATCATCTGCATCGGCCGATCGACTACATGAACACTTCGCGGCCACACAACATTGAGCAGTACTTGCATCACGAGGAACTGCCGCGCGTCGCATCGCCGAATTACATTCACATGCAGCAGGAGGATCTAGTGTCGCCGTCCGCCACTCCGAATCCTCGCTACCAGGACATGCACCATCATCATCATCAAGTGCCCACAGACAATCTATCGAGCGACGAGGGCGACGCGGTGGCACAGAATCTTAGTCTGTCCGTGAAGGAGAAGGCGTTGCAGCTGGATCTGTCAACGTCTTATAAGTCCTACGACCCGCTCGAGCAGGACTTTATCCGGGAGAGGTCGAATTTCGAGCCGCTGATGCTCAACAGCGGCGAGCTCCAGGGTCTGGATATGTCCGCTCGAAGTTTCCACCATAGCTTTGGAGTTCAAGTGCAGAACACGCGTTACCACCATCATCACCTGTACGACATAGAGCGACAGAGTGTAGACCTCAGCAGGACCGGCAGCTACTCCATGTCACCGCCTCCACCACCGCCACCACCACCACCGCCTCCTTATCCGCACGGGGACGTTCTGAGGGTAGTCAGTTTAGACCTCACACCTGGCGGCAGGCATAGCGTCGACCTGAGTCTCTCCAGGACTCATCACCTGCACGGATCGGGTACCCGCGTTATCACTAGCCCGCAATCGTCCAGCTCGACGACCACGCACGTGGTACCAGACACCGGCGATGGCCGCATGTTGTCTCCACCTCCGCCTCCCTTAGCTGGATACAACCCAAGTTATCCTGTAAGTCCAGCTCCGTATCATCCTCCGAGAACAGGATACCACCATTATCCTGGTTATTATTGATCGTTCTCGATCTTTATTGTCGACATCACGGTGGCTGGCGATCAATGTCTCTTCGGCAACGTTTTTCACTACAAACGTCGAGGCGAGGCTCAGTTTCTTCGCAGGTCGTTTTCATTCTTAGAGAGTTTAGGTCATTGGTCATTCGGTTTACACATACGCCGCTTCACTTTGTGATACGCACGAATCGCAGAGGGGAACTGCCATTTTCATACACGATGTTTGTAAAGTAGCGCATAATGATACTTTATTCTCGCGGTCGATTCGCATGTCAAATCGGACATGCGCAGACCAGCATACTAGCCTTAACATTCATCAGGCTTTAGAAGGAAGAATGTTTCAATAACATGCATCATGTCTGTTATATGAAACGACAATGATATATTGAATATAAACTTTTTCTCTATATAATTTTATGCTTCATGTCAAAGATATCACTTATTTTTAATAGTAATGAATATACCGTTGTCATTTCCTTCATTAAACGATTAATCGCCATTATGTATAAATATGTCAAATGATGCAAATAATTGCAGAATTAAAAAATAACCCAATTTTGGGTTAAGTTTAAGATGTCACGTAGAGGTGACAAAAGAGATGAACGGAAATATAATGGAGAAGCAGTAAGGGAGAGGGATAACCAATCATCTATTATTTCGTTCTAATTTCAAATGCCTCCATGCACCGAAATCTCCGCAAAGATAACAAATTAATTTTTATCAAATTAGTATCAGTAAACAATATCGTGAAAAGGAAAACTTCTCAGGAGCAACTCGGCATCGGGTCTTTCCTTCCTGATGAAGCGAACTGAAATGTTTGCGAAACATCGGAATCAAACAGAGAAGAATCCACGCGGCTCAAACCCGAAAACCAAATCTAATATCATGAAAGAGATACGTAATTATAATTAAACCTCAAAAATATACTGTACGATGTATTTTTTTATATCTTGTGGGTATTCCACCAAGCCTTCAGCCTTGCCCAAGGATATTTTTAGCTATGCGGCTTATGATATCTCTTGTTCGGTTTTGTTTTCTCTTTTCTTACTATTTTTCTTCCTTCTATTTTTCTGAACACTAATTTCCTTTTCCAAAGTATATGCAAAAGATGTCACACACAAAAAATTACATGTTATGTCCGAGCAAGTTCGAACATGTCTTTACATAACGGTAGTTAAACGGCAACTAATCATATAATGTGTTTTTTCTTCATATTTAGTGACTGTCACCAAATGTCTAGCGTGTCATTGTGCCTTTAGCCTTCTCCGAGAATATTTATAGCCATTAGACACGATTATACAATGTATGTACGAATGGGTTTATATTTTCATAAAACCCTGTGTACAATGGAGCACATATTAGGAATAGGAATAAATATTAAGTAATCTAACCTAAGAAAACGAAATTATTTTATTTAAAACAAAATGACAGAATAGGCTAACGTACTACAAATTACTAATTATGTGTCAGGAATAAAAACGATGATATTAGATATGAAAAATAATTCATTTTAAATATGCTTAATATTTACTATTTATTCTTATTCCTAATAGTTTCTTTATTGTGTGTAGGACCTTAACAAATTTGAGATTAGAATTTCTTCTCTTTCCGTAAAATGTGCTCCGTGGAAAGTCCGGTCATGTGAAATTAGTAAAAAGTAATAGATGATTGGTTGGAGTTATTCAAATATTAATATATTACAGAATATATTAGAAAATTATTAAATTATTTTTAAATTAGAATAAGAATTTTTAAAAGTGAGTAACGATAATAACGAGTTACTTTTCTTTTTAATGAATAACGAATTTCAAAAAGTAAAATCCTTTTTAATTCAGAATGAACATAAAGTCCTAATTATTATTGTGCCCGTAGATGTTTAGGTTATTATGCCGGTCTACGTACAAAGAATCACACACAATGAAAGAATCGCGAGCTTTCTGTCGCGAGAGGAAAGGCATCAATAAAGAAATCAATAATATCGCACGGTAGCGCAGACAGTCGTGACATCGTAGCTTAGCGCGATAAATATACGAAGATGCGAATGGCGCATTCATGACGTTCAGAGAACGAGAAGAGAGCGGACGTTATTTTTTTAAGAAAAAAAAGTCAAGTAGCGAGATTCTACGGAGAGAGAAATCTATTCCAGAATATGATATTGGATAGACCTTTATCCGTAATGATATAGCTGTTAAATTATTTATTATCTACCTTCCTTTTGAGCAGCGTATATACGGAACAAGTATGATGTGTAACGAGTGTATTGTCTAGAGAATGATTGACATAGAAGATAAGAATGATAGAAAGTGGAACAGTAGCAGATCGACACATCCGTGATCCAGTGCCACGTCCGTGATAATTAAGATTATTAAAAGTTGTTATATACTTATATATAGCACCTAGCTTATATATTCTTCTATTTCGGATCTATACTCCCGAGGGAAAAGGAAAAAAAAGAATGAAGTAAGCGAAATATTCCGTGTAACACGTGGCTTTGGTGATAACGTCAACATCTCAGATAGTTGTTTGGTCTCTCGTGAGAAAAATTACTTTATCGTCGTTTTAAACATTGTCTCGCACGATGGAAGAAAGGCGATTTCAACTCCCACTGTTCTGTGTGTCGACGATACGTTTGCGAATAACGCAAGTTCTGTGCGAATGCACACCGGTATGTCGTTTGAGTGACGCATGATCTTTTCCCATAAACGTTGAGTACGTATAATATAATTAGCGTTTGCTATCTGGGATGTTAATAACGAGATATTTCAATCAAGATGCCTAACGGTAGCTGTAAGTATATCTGCATGGTGATAACACATTGTAATGTTCATTTTTATTCTAGTCATTATTATGTATGTCATAGCGCAGAGACATTAGCTTTATACGTGACGACGAGTATTTCGACGACCGTGACCAGCTCGTCGAGAGAAGTATGTGTATTTATTGTGGCTACAAATTTGAGATCGTACATATATTCGTTGGTACGAGATATTTCGTACATTTTCTCGCTGGTCCAGTAAGTTTGTCCAATAAGAAAGATCACTGATAATATCGATGTATTTCTATTATTGTCGAAGTTACAGCGCGACGTTTATGTTTTTACGACGCTTGACTGGCGACAATATTACGCGTTGAGTTTCGCACACACACACATATATACAGGATTTTCCAAAAATATCCTACAATACTTTAATCTCATCCTGAAGCTCGATTGGAATCGAAAATTCTAATATGGGAACATTGAATAAGTTTATCATTCATCGCATTTTTCTAATTTGTAATATTGCATATTTTTATAATTAAACTTTTGATTGGGATTCTGTTCAACTATATTCTACATGAAATTCGTTAAAAAACGTAATTCTTTACTCTTTAGATTTCTTGGAGTGAAAATCTCACTCGAAAAATGGAGTGACAGCCGAGAGTCACTCGAATTAAGGGGAGAACTCCATATAAATGAGCCGAGAAATAGGCAATCCTTAGGGATTAAAAAAAGTAAAAAACTGTTTGATGAATCTTTTTGAAACGTTTAGAATATTTAAATGCATACTCAAAGAACTAGAAAACATTTTCTTTGAGCAATAGCAATGGATATTTTGATAGTTAATAAAGGTCGATGTCGGAGACCTTGTTTTAGACGAAGTGAACTTGCGTACACTCTAACGGTCTTAGTTTCAATTCTGCAACAAAAATCCTAAAAGATTTGTTTTTCTAATAAAGATCACGAGGAATGAACTTAAACTTGTTAAAAAAAATTGGAAATTTAGTGAAAATAAACGACTTCGAAAGAAAAGATTCAAATTTTACGGAAAATTTTCATCTTAATTGTTTGAGAAAAGTTGTGTAAATAAATAAATATTAATTACATATAGGTTTATTCTATTACAAAAGTAATAGTATACATGCACGCATAAGCGCAACGCAATTGGTTGAATAGTTTTTGAGTTTTTATGTACGCAAGTTGCGAAAAAGTAGTTCTGAAAAAAATGCGTTTAAAGTTAACGGAGCAAATAAGTAACAGTTTTTGGAAACTCACGGCTCTTTTCGACTATTCTGCAATTTTAGCTCCATACAATAGGCCCTTTATTTCCTCGGAAAATTGGTTTTCTGCAATTTTTTTCTGTTTACGAGCTATTCGAGCCTCCTTTGTGCTGCTACGAGCTTGGCGCTCCTGTCTGCTCAATCGCTTGCTGTCCAATAAATCGGCGTAAATTTTGCATTGCTGGCCAATTTTAAGTTCCAAAACATCCATCATTTTTAGTAGTACGTTAATAATAGCTCTCGTTAAATATGCTAGCAGCAAAATAAGTAACTATTTCTATTATTTTAGTGCCAGCACAGTGGCGTAGCCGGGGGGGGGGGGGGGGGGGAGGGGACTGTAGCTCCTCCCGAAATTAATTTTCTAAGTTACGCTAAGTGAAAAAAATTCTTTCGAATGATCTTTTTTTTGCTTGTCAAAAATAAAAAATACAGCCCCCCCCGAAACTTTTTTTCTGGCTACGCTACTGTGCCAGCATGTAAGTGTTTGGGAGCTAGTCGCCAGATCATTGCATTTAGACTCTCATTAGCATTCTGTGTATGCTCTTCCAAGCACCTCTCGGCCATTGAGAAACGTTAATGTCTATTGTGCAAAAAAGATTAAGTCGAGAAACGGCACAGGTCCGGCCAAGACGCGCCGAGCGGCTGTTAAATTGGTGGCACATAGAAAAACTTAAGCAGTAAGACGTAAACAGTAAGCGAATCAGCCAGTCGTTGATTCTTGGACAATAAGAAGAATCAACAACTGTGATTGGTCAATTTGCTTACTGCTTACGTCTTACTGCTTAAGTTTTTCTGTGTGCCACGGCCCTTATACTTACGCGCGGCGCAGGTATAAACGTGTCCGTAGTGCCATTAATACTTCGAAATGAGCTTTAAAATTTTAGGATTATATTCTCCGTATAACAAGAATTCGATTTAAGTGAAAAAAAATCGATTTTTCCGATCAGTTACGTGGAATTCTCCCCTTAAAGTGACTTCTCATTCTTAGAGACTGAATTCTTTCACTCTATATCGTGGAATGAAAATTTTCACTCTGTGTCGTGGAGTAAATTTTTGTTCGACAAATAGAGTGACGACCGTTGGAGTCACTCAAGTTGGAGTGACTTTTCACTCGTATGGAATGAATTTTCAACTCATGGAAGAGTGACTGATTCGAAACAACTCATGTATCATTATAGCAGTCGTTCCTATCAGTTAATAGCAGTGACTCTGTAGGTATGAATCATGTAGAACTTAAGAGCCAGAGATCTCAGGCTCTCGAGTTCCACTATGGTCAGCGAATTTTTCCAAGCTTATTATAAGTGGGATTAATTAAATAGAACACCATTAAAAAGATTGAACAATAATCAGAAATCTAGCAACCACAAACAGGATAGAACTAGAGATTTTTATTTTTACTTAATCATAAAAATTCACTCTAGTTGAAGTGAAATATTCACTCTTATGAAAAGTGAGATATTCTATTCAGAGTGGCAGTATTTTCACTATCCCTTGGAGTGAATATCCATTCGTTTAGAGTGAAACTTCACTCCAAGAAATTTTAAAAGTACTTTATTTGACTAAAGTTGAGAAGTAACGCGTTACTCGTAATGCTGTTACCATTATAAGTTACTTTTTTGGGGTAATTGTAACGAATATAATTATTACTTTGTATAGGATACATGTACATGAAATGAACTAAGTTCTCACGAGGGACTTAAAATTTAATAGAAAAAGCAAAGTAAATTTTAATTATTTCTAGTTAATTGTATTACTTCTTGACTATCAATAATGTGAGTGTTCTTTTTAAAATAAGCATTTGTAATGAATTCTCCTTAAAAAATAACTCCCAATCTTGCATTTGGCTATTTGAAATTTAATTCAAATTCAAAAGTTTAATTTCCAATTTTTAATGTTGCATATTATTTCCGGATAGCGCCAAATCTACGCAAGTGGATTCTGAGCAGAATCTGCTATAAATTTTTGATACCAAAGTGGCTGTAATCTCACACAGGATTTTTTCTATCCGACGATGTTGCCAAACTACCGCCAGAAATCTGACAGAGCTTGCTGACATGCTAGCCATCAGATTGACAGCAGAAAGCAAATAAATCCTATAGCAGTTTGACGTAAAATTGACAGCAAATTGACAGCAAAAAATGGAGCAAATTCCGTTGGGTGCAATTTGACAATAGAATCTGCTCAGCCGCCAATCTGTTGTCAAATCGTGTCGATAGGCTCTGTCAGCAGAATATATACTTAATGCGGACATAGATGGTTTTGTGATGGGATTCTGATCAAATTTGCTGCCAATTTGCCAACATACTGTTAACATTTTGTTTATTGGGTTATAATTGAGCTTTCAGTTTTTTAAAATTCTGTTTAAGTATATTCCTGAAATCAGTTAAAAATATATTGATTAAGCTTCTTTAAGTTTATTTAGCCGGAAAGTCGCATTTTTATTGGCTCATAGCTCAAAAAGTATTATTGTCTCAGTATTGTTCTATCAATTCTTTTCAACTGCAATTAAGCTTCAGAATATATTATTAACTCTTTGTGTGGCACATATTTTCTACCTAACGAATTTCTATGAAATCTTGCAATTCTGTTTTTTAGGTCTCTCATTACGAATCTGAAGTTAGATTTCAAAAATTTAAAATGACAGATTCAATATGGCTACTACATAAGGGTAAATTAATGTAAGTCTGAATAAATATAAATCAGGTACACGATATAAAAGTTTTTCAAGATCGTTAATTATGAATTTCATGTCAGATTTACACAATTCAAAATAACGGATCCAGTATGGCCGTCATACAGGAGTAAAACATTATAATATTATAAACATTAAAATATATGTAAATATGCTAAAAAAATAGGTTATCATAAATTACATAGGTTATTATATAGTTTCATGGATTATTGCAAATTTGGTGTCAGATTTGAAAAATTTGAAATAGCTGAACCAATATAGATCCCATAAAAAAGAAATTTATGGAAGTATGCATATATACGCGAAAAACACGATTTATAAAAATTCCGAAATTATATTTTTTGATAAAAAAATTTAGCATAAAAAATTCTTGAAAAAATATATATTATATTTTGACATATGAAGAATATTCAGTAAAATTTTCAGTCTCTTAATACTTTCCAAGAAACCACATTTTTTGTAAAAATCGTTTTTTTCACCTTTATTTCTTTATGAATAATTAGAAATAAACAGTCGAATATAGAGTATGGAAAACACATGTAAAGTAAGTATTAATATATCAGAAAAAAATGAAATCATGATTAGTTTCATTAAAATGTGAGAAGTATATCGTAAAAATGAAAAAGAAAAAGGTGGGAAGTATACTTCCACACATACACGAAAGGTTAAAGTATTGTACGATAATTTTGAGATATCCCCTGCATATACGTACTCGTTATAAAATTTATATGTATACACTGATATCGAGTGCTCTCGAGAGAGAAATATTTTCTTCCGTATCCGCAGCGATATCACAGCTCAATGTTTTTTTAATCATACGGAGACACAAATGCAGTGTACCATCTTTCTCCACGTTGATTTTTCGTATCGCTTCCATGTTTCTAGATTTACGCCCACTCTCTTTCTCTCTAGCCATTTATTGAAACCAAAGATCGAAAAGTAACTCGTAACTCTTGTGCCAAATCGAAGAAGAAACGGCGCTTATTGTTATATATATATTATATATATATATATATATATATATGCAATTTTATATAGCTAACGTAACAATTATTTGATAAAGGGACGGCATCATCGCGACGTTGTTCTCTTTACTTTTTTCACATTCTTCGTTGATCCCTTTCATTGACGTTTTACACTGCAAAAGTCTATATTTTTCTTTTTCTATATATAGATCCTGTATAAATTAATGATTGATCCTGTTGGAAGAAACGGGCACATTTCGTTAATTCCTCTCATGCACATTTTTTCACAGCGCTTTTGCCATTAAGCATAGTTACCCTGATCGTTTTGTCGCGACGATATCCATTTTCGAGTGCTTCATGTGCTCGCGTCTCACTTTTCCGATCATAGTTTGTATATTGTGCATAATAATGTAAGGAAGACAAACGCGGTACATCTACCAAGGTATAAATATATACATACGCATATATGACAAAAAGAAAAAAATTCAAAAGAAATGTTTACGAGTACAAAATGTGGCACAGAATATATTTGTATCAGTTTTATTGACATTAACATTGTAAGTAATATTAATAGAACATGACAATGATTAAGAAGGTCGTTATTATTTTCCTCTATTGTCCTGAATTAT